AATAGATGTGGTGGAAGTATTCTCTTTTAGGTTCCATTCTTTCGAATCTCTTCTGTGTCTTGGTACCTCTCTCTCTCTCTCTTGGAGGCATTGCCAACCTCAAAAAGGGAACAAAAATATGATAGGGTAAAGTCTCTCTTCTGATGGAGCCCACTTTTGGTTCAGTGGGGGCAAATTAAAAGATAAAAAATTATTTAAAAAAAAAAAGAAAATTAATCATATATAACCATGAAGTATCACTTATATTTCTATTTTAAAATAGAAAAAAAAAATTAATATTGATAGTTGTAAAATCAGTGATGTTTGTGAGACAAGTACATAAGAAATTTTACAAGGTCAGTGTGGGCATGAGTAGGGATGAAAGCGAGTCGAGTATTTCGCGGCTACTCGAGCTTGCTCGTGAAAAGCTCGAGCTCGACTCGATTGACTTAGAGTCGAGCTTAGTGGCTCGTTAGGATCGAGTCGAGTGTCGATCAGGGTGAAGCTCGGTTTGATAGCTTGCGAGCCCATTGTGCTTGAGGGCCAAATTGTAACTTTTGTAACCTCTTTTTTTTCAAGTTTTTTAAAATGAACAAACAGTCCCTTCTCCACAATAAACTCGAAGCTCGAGTATCCACCCATACTCTGACTCGAGCTCGAGCCTAAGTATCAACGCTCGGCTCAACAAGCTCGCATTGTTCATCACGAACCGAGCTCGAGTGTTCAGATACTCGCTCAGCTCGTATACACCTCTAGTGCATGAATGCATGAGCCCCCCAGTCACACTTATGGTGGTGGCTCCGTCCTCTGTCATCTTATAAATCTTCTTAAAATCCCCAAAAGAAAATTAAATAAAATTCTATTACAACTCTTTTGCTTTGTTCAACAGAGACAGCTGATGTTAACACACTGCTGCTATGCTGGCATTGTTGTGCCACATGCTACCGCTTTTGTTCAGATATTCCGGTGCCTCAGCCGCTCTCCACGGCGACCCAACACGGCAGTTGTCGGAGACCGCCAGTATTGTAATGTTGATTTTCGTATCTTGTCTACATTATTTTCCAATTGTGGACACACAGACAATTGTTTGAGCTGAGAGTAAATTCTTGAAGGGTTGTATTAACTAGACTATATGGAAAAGTCTTGTTTCAATAAAAATATTTTCATTTGGAATTTTACTTGGTGTATTAATTAAGCCATTGATCATAAAAATCGATCAGGACTCGGAAGTTGATGACGATGTGAGAGCAGAAGAAGTGCCTGTGATAGGGTTTTTGGAGTGGATTTGCCTGGCTGGTTGGTGACTGCTGTCATTGCTCTATTGTCGAATACGTTGTGGCACCATTGGTAAACTAAACTCTTTATTTTGAAATATTAGATATTCCATTCTTTTTAAGTGTTACTTTTCCTGAACATATTCTAAAACATAATTGACCTTTAACACGCTGGAAAATTGTCAATCCAGAGTAAAATTAACTGGATATTGTGTTTGTCCTATTGTTTACAGGATGCTTCAGAATCTTGGGGATTTCTGTCACTTTCATTAGCTCATCTTGCTACCAATCGTCGGAAAATGCAGCTGAGCATGCTGAGCCGTCATATTTGCCTTTAAAACAAGTTGGTGAGTAACATTACGCCTTGATTTTCATCTCCCTTCTCATCAACAATGATTTGGCTAAATAACAATTCTGTGCCCAAATGCAGGATATAACCTTAGGTGTTGCTTTGGGTTCTGCAACTCGATTGCTTTGTTTGTGGTAATTTTTTCAAAATATACATACATAAGTTAAATCATTTTTACTGAAAATTTCGAAGATTCTAAGCATTTCCCATTATGAAATCGATCAGGTTCCATTGTGTGTGGTTGTTGCTTGGATGATGGGATTAAGATGGATCTTAACTTTAATCTCCTTGAGACTGGTGCTCTTGCTCTAATCAATTATCGCCACACTTTCACTTTACAGGTAATATAATTCAAACTTCTCAATTTGATTTTACACCCAACATTTATCACTAGTTAATCATAATGATATCTTTAATTAATTAGGATGGGAGCTCTCATTACTTGAAAGATTGGTTCTTCTGCTCTGCTATATAGTTATTGCAGCATGCTTTTTTGTATCTCAAAGACCTCTAGGTATGTATTTACATAATCTTTTTCAGGGTTTACAAAAAAAATATTAAAATTCAATGTCCATCCAACAATTAATTTTCCTTTCCTCAGCCCTGCAAATCTGGTCAACTTTGGCATTCAATCATCTTAAGTATTGGCCATTCTGGCCAGTCTGGATTGAAGATTGAAAGTTCAACATAAAAAATACTTTGTTATCTTTCAATTGTTTTCAGTCACCTGCTGAGCCAAACATTGCATAGTGTGATGCCTTTACATGCGTTTAGATGGATGGATTTCTTGGAGTGTGAATGGGGCCATGGAAGTTTGATGAAGGTAGGTTACAGTAATTTATTCACTATTATATATAGATCATCTCTTCTGTGGATGTTTTCTTTTTTGTAACTCAGTGAGTTTACTGTATATGCCCATCGCATGGTGGCAAACGTATTTCAATAATCAATAAACTTGAATTTGTTGTTGTTTTGGTTCGAAACATTCTACATAATTATCGTGTTCTTTTTATATATAATTGAGAAAGGGAATTGGTTGGTGATAAACTGAGATTAGGCATGGCAATGTTCTCCGGGATTTCTGGGACCCGTCCCACCATGCCCTATATGGGGCGGGGAAGCTCCGGTTTTTTTGGGGATAAGGGCGGGGGTGGGGGGTGTTTTAATCCCCGTCCTCAGGGATGGGGCGGGGGTGGGTGATGCCTTTCCCCCGGCCCGCCCTGTATATAATATATAAAATTAAAAAAATGTATATATATATTTACTTTTCACTAATACCCTTATATTTCACCTAATTACATAATTATTCTACCTATATAAACTCATATTTTCGTAATTTCCCCACCCTAAACAATTAAACAAGAACAAACCCTGACCCATATTTATGTATAATTAATTATGTTTAAACGATTAATTTAAGTGTTTATCATGTGGACGAGAATTAACTATTGTGTTTGGTAATACTCAAATTAATTTATGTTTATATAAAATTAACGGGGCAGGGACGGGCCTCCAACATCCCTTTGGGGGTCGGGGAAGGGGAATTCTTATCATTCCCGATGGGGCGAGAATAGAGAATGATTTTGAGAGTAGGGATGGATACGGTAAATGAGATCCCCGTCCCGCCCCATTGCCATGCCTAACTGAGATATGTGAGGAAGAAGATAAAGATGAATGACGAATCGAGAGATAAAGAAGAGAAGTCAGAATCCATGACACAGTGATCTGCTTTGTAATCCTTCCAAAAGGTGTCTTACAATTTTCAACATCAGAGTCTCGCTTCTTATCTCTGTCACATGAACTGTTTCTTTCTTTTGGACGTATCCAGTCAAGTAGACTTCAGTGGCAATTCATGCCGCACTTCATGACTACATTTTTTCCTCTTAATTTCATTCTGAATACAGCTCCTTCAACAGTTCTCTTTTTCAAGTACTCGGCGGCTTGCATCTAACTTGATGCTTGATTTTAGATACCAATGACTTGCATGTATAAAATATTAAGAGAATCTTAAAAATTATACGTGACTGATTTATGAGATTTGAATATGGTACTAAGATTATATATATTACAGAAACATAAATAATAGATTGATTAGAGAGGTTTTTATAGTGGTTCGGATGTTTAAAGTAAATCCTACATTCACTGTTATTTTATTATTCTCTGACTATTTTTATGATATTGCCCATAAGACATACAAAGATGAAAAAATATTTTGCTTTACTGAGAGAAATAATGAAACTCAAATCTATGTCTAGCTCTCATTTGCCCAATTTTCTCTTTTCGTGAAGAAAAGTGCTTATTTATACACCTTTTAGGTCAATGTAATAAGTGTTTTTGCAAGTTATCATGACACGTGGGACCACTCCTTAATCTTATCTTTTTATTTTGATAAAGTTGAGACACGTGTGCGGTCCTCATCCACTCGTAGACAAAATTTGAATTTGTTGGGTTGATGACAACCGTATCTTTTCTGTCTTGGGGCGATGTGACAGTTTCTGGATAACACAAAGCCTTCCTAAACTTTGATTGGTTGGTGCTAACATTAATGTGACTTTTTAAGTACAACATAACTAATAATGAAACAGATCAAATGACATCATAGAAAGAGTGAGTTCAATAAGAGTCTTGATCACCGAAGATTAGAGAAAGGAGAATCGTAAACAGACTATTAAAGAAGGAGAATCAGAAATTAAAAACATAAGGTCCAAAACCGGAACCAAACCCAGGGTACCTGCCGGTTCCAGTTCCAACTGGTTATTTTGAACACCCTTAATAATAATGGCAGGTTCAGCGTCCGGGATTAAATTATGATGATTGTCGTAAGAAAAAAAAAGTGATAAACGACATGTCATTTAAAAGAGTAAACGACTTTTTCCCACCCAAGGTTTGCCTTAACAAACCTTTTCCACCAAAAGGTTTCAAAATACCACTTTTCAACCTAAAGTTAACATTCCATTACTACCCACATCTGATTCCGACAGCAAAAGTTCTCTATGTCATCATCATTTAAACTTTTGGTATTCTCTGTACAAAATATCTCTCACTCCGACACCTAATTTTTCGTCGATTGTCGATAATCGCAAAGTAAAAGTTTTTAATTATTAGCTGATTTTGGCTGTGAATATTTAATTGGTCACCATCATTTGATCTAATAGCCTCCACTCTCCAAAATCTCTTACCTTGACTGCTGTTAACTTGTCAAACACCAACTGAGAAAATGAAATGTATTTTAGGTATTAACATAATATAAACTTTAGGTGGGAAAGTGGTATATTGAAACCTTTTGAGTGGCAAAGGTCATTAGGGCAAACCTTGGGTGGGAAAAGGATTTACTCCGTTTAAAATGGATAAACATGACATTTCACCTATCTTTTTAATAATAATCCTACGAAAGGAATAAAAAAAATCAACCTAAGAATAACATGTTGATCTCTTACAATTTCCCACCTTGAGCTCCCAACCGGCCGCGACACGAGCAATTACATTCAGAGAATTAGAGAGAGATTAAACGGGGGAGAGTGAAGACCAACAATAACAGACCTGAGCCATGGCCAGACGACACGTCATCCCTCCACCAAACGCAATAAAACTCCGGGAACTACCGTTACCCAGTCGTCAACATCTCCCTTCTCTGCATCACCTTGAAGACCGCATCGCCATTCAGCAGAGCGAGATCCAATCCCTTATTCAAGACAATCGACGGCTGGCCGCCACACACGTGGATCTCAAACAAGAGCTCTCCCTCGCAGAACAAGAGCTCCGCCACTTATCTTCTACTGCCGCCAATGTAAAAGCCGAGAGAGACGCCGACGTGCGTGAGGTTTACGAGAAGTCGTTGAAGTTGGACGCCGAGGTGCGTGTAATTGACGCGATGAATGCGGAGCTGGATGGGGTGCGGGCGGATGTAGAGGAGCTTAGTGTGGTCAAGCAGGAGTTGACGAAACAGTTCGACGAGATTAACGATGAATTGGCAAAAGCGAGGGCAGAGTCAAAGGATTTAACTGTGATTAAGGCCGAGATTGAGAGCTTTCGTCGAGAAATTCAACGGGGAAGGTATTGTAATTGTTTTCTCAATTTCTGAACAATTTTTTTCTTTTTGATTTTAGGAATTATAATTAATTTAACTGTTAAATTATCTGCTGCATTAGTGCTCTGCTATAAAGATTCGTCATCATGAAGGATGGAAATTTCCGTCATGGATATATTGAGTAAGAAAAAGAGATAAAATTTATAATATGTTGATGATGTATAAAGGTCTTAGGAAATTCATGATTTGCTCTGTTTATGTCTGAACAGGGCTGCTATTGAATATGAGAAGAAGAATCATGCTAGTAATCTTGAGCAAAGTCAGATAATGGAGAAAAATATGATTTCTGTGGCTCGTCAAATTGAAAGACTACGGGCGGAGATACCCAATGCAGAGAAGAGAGCAAGGGCGGCTGCTGCAGCAGCCGGAGCAGCAAACCCAAGTAATCTTTCTTGTTATCATTTCTCAAGTAATGATAATTTGATGCTAAAAAATGTGAGTTTGATTAAATGTAGTATTGACCTTTGCGGTTGTGCATTCAGGTGCGGCCTATGCTGCAAACTATGGCAGTCATGTATATGGAGGAAGTCTATATGCAGATCCTTACAGCTTGCATCAGGTATGTGCATGGAGATATGTTCTTGTTTAATTTCTGTCACTCCTAATCAATAATGATGTTGGTTGTTTGGCGTAGATATGACCAATAATTAGATTAACTCAATTGACCTTTGGCGCATATTCCATTAGCATCACCTTGATCAGTATCAATAAGATCCAATAATGCTGTTAAAATAAATATTTTGTGTAATTTGGTATTGGGTTAAATGTGCTTATCTTGTTAATATTATAGCTGAGTGGTTGATTCTGCTCTGTGTTCTTTATGCTGATCTCCTAAAGTGATGTTTATAGCTGAAATAAATAATAAATTAGCTTAAGTAGTAAACAAAGTGACTTTTGATCGGATGACACATGTATCTCTTGCCCTGTTATATGTTTCCAGTTCTTACCCTTTTTTTTTTCCCTTTTCAGGATGGGATAGTAGATTTTTCTTTAATTTGTTGAAAGTTCTCCAGATGAACACATACATATAGTTAAAAATCTTTTTCAATATGAAAACAATTTTGCATCAGCTGCTCCAGGAAAGGGGTTTACAAGGATTAACAATTTTACTCAGAATTTGGTTTATACTTCAAAACTCTTATGAGAACTACTACTGACCTTATCATAGTTCTATTAATTCTATTTTTTGGTTTCTTATCGAATACATGTTTTGTATTTCATAAAAATTTCTTAGGTCTCGAGTAAGATTCTTATCAAGTTGATCAATGAGGCACTGCTAGTATAGTTAGTGAATCATTCTGCTGCTTCATTCCTGATTGCCCTTTTTCATTCTCTAACAAGTGTTAATCACTGTTACACACTTATTTACTGAAACTCTTAAATATATCTCATATAAAATGTTTTTGTGTTCTAAATACTAAAACACTTCAAAAGTCTTATATCGTAGAACTCCTTGTAATCTTATTCCCCACAAGTTCCAGACAATAGACGGTCTGTCAAACCAATTATTAATGTTGAAGTTTTATTTTCAGGTTCAAGGTGGAGCTGATCTTGCTCCTCAATACGTATCTGGAGCAGCAGCACATGGTCCTTATGAATTACAGGGATCCCATGTACAAAGATAAGGAGCTGAACGTTGCAACTATTTTTGTTCTCTTCGGGTATTAAAGATTTTATTACTTGCGAATTTATGGAAAACTTTCCTTTGTTCAAAACCCTGTTAATACATAATTTGATATATCAAAGGCTCTTGGGTAAAAGATGATGCTGAGTAAAAATAGTGATATTATTGTCAACCCTGATTCTGGTATTCTTGTTTGTCTTCAGTCCTGATACAATTTCTATGAGAAGTTGGTTTATAATAGAAAGGGAAGAAATGTGCTTTAGGTTTCATTGGTGGCTACCCTAACCTCTTTAAAATTCCTTGGCATTGGGGTGATTTCTACAAGAATACCAGGCTGAATGCTTTATGGAAAAAGTGCCTTTTTTTTTTTTTTTTTGGTGATCGGGAGTGTTCAGGCCAATTTAGACGCACCTTAACTAATTCTTCGGGACCATAAAGTGAACGGAGATGTGGGAAAATTGCCTTTGTTTCTCATTTTTATTAAAAAGAGAAAAATCTGAGGGTCCAAATTTAGGGGCTCAACTTTATCCCAATATTTAGGATTATAGGAAAATTAGGTTCTTTTGCATAATCGCATAGCCTGATTTTTTCTCACAAAGACGGTGTCAGCTTGCAATTAGTCAGTTTGCAATAGGTTTCGTTTGCCTAGTAATGAGTCTCGTCTGATCAAACGTGAACAATCACGCCGCGTTTGTAAGAGAAAGTTATGAGAAGTGTTTTCTAACTTGTCTTTATTTATATTATAATACTTTTCAATATCATTCATATTAAACGATATAAAAGTATAATAATTAACTATAATATTTATTAATTTTCATGATAATAAATTTTTATATTTTAAATGTAAATAAATAAAATTCTTTTATCTGCTGGATCCGAATACGACTGTTAGTTGTTAGGAAGGAATTAAGGAAATTTGCATTATTCCATTTCCATGATGATAGATGATAGGCTTCTAATTTCGTTTCGAGTGGACAAACATTGAAAGTAGTTAGGAGGTTTCGTGGGCCATTATGGACATGCCTGGTTGTAAGCCCATATACAAATTTCAACCACCACGTTTTAAAACTTTTTCTATTGTTTTTTTTAACTAGTAATGTAAATGTGTAGTAATCAATTGTACTAATCTAAGTATTAATATTAAAAATTTGAATTCTCTTTTTTGGGAAGAATTTTTTTTTAATGAGTAATATTATGTGTACTAATCAATGTATACTAATCCAAGTACTAACATTGAAAATTTAAATTATTTTTTTGGAGAAAATTTTAAATTTTCTATGTTAATACTTTGATTAATACATATTAATTAGTGCACATAGTATTATTCTTTTTTAATATCTTATTCCATCCAATCGGTCAACATCTATCAAGCAAAGCCATTCTTAGCAGAAACCTAAAATATCTACGCAGCATAAGCGACACTCAATAACTTCTCCATGGACCGGCACACACGGGATCAAAAAAGATTCAGGGGCTTAAATATAAAAATAAAAAAGATCTCCCTCTCTCTCTTTCCACTTCGCTCTCTTTTTCTTCCTGCAACGACCTGAACGCCTTATCTCATCTCTGCCCCCCTGAATTTCAAAATTCCGCTTAAGCCATGAGAGAAGAGTCGGCCGTTGTGACATTCCGAAGCATCCCGAGCCTCAGAGCTTCTCGGTTCAGTTGTATCGATACGCCAGCGGAGTATGAAACGTTGTGGAAAACCGACGATCGGCTTAGCTTTACAGTTACTCTTGCTGGTAGAGCTGGTGGTGGAGGAGGTAAAGGCAGGATTGATAATTTTGCATGTCTTGCACTGGCCGAGAAGCGAAGCCAAAAAGAGTTCCAGCCGACTCCTGCTCAGCTCGCCAAGCATCCTTTAACTTTACTCGCTTACGTGCCGAGAGACGCCGCGATTTTTGCCGCTGGTGCCGTCGCTGGAGCTGCCGCAAAAACCGTCACGGCTCCGCTTGACCGTATCAAGCTACTTATGCAGGTCTTATTTCAGCTCACTACTTTTGAGTTTCTTCACGTGTTTCATACATCTCTTGCAATAATTTTGTTCCATAGGTTGCCGTCTGGTGTTTATGTTTGACTTTTGCTAGGTTTTTTATTCCTTTAAATATAGTCTGTTTGTTTTCATAAATTGGTAGCAAAACGAGATAATTATATTCCAGAATTGTAATGTATTACACTGTGTTCATATGTTCAATGGATATGTTGATAACTGCTCAAATGTAATTTAACGTGTTTACAGACTTATGGGGTGAGAGCTGGGCAAGAAGGTGCTAAGAAGGCAATTGGTTTCATCGAGGTATGTATGGCCATGGTTCAGATGGCATGTTCTCGGCTGCGTTGAGAGTGTGTCATAAGCATTAGAGATTCAATGCATAATGGTTTGAGGTGATTGCAATAGATGAAAATGATTTGATATCTTCTGGTAATTCATCATAATGATGGTTTTAAAATGACTGCAGGCCATAGCATTGATAGCAAAGGAAGAAGGAATTAAAGGATACTGGAAAGGAAATCTCCCTCAGGTCTTTTACCTATGTCATTTTTGTTTAATTATGCATTGATGATTTTCTTGAGTTTTAATGTAGAATTTGACTTTGATGGTTCAGGTTATACGGATTATACCTTATAGTGCAGTCCAGCTCTTTGCTTATGAAACTTACAAGGTATGGCGACAGTGTCTTTAAGCAAATTTTAGTACACTTTTACATGTTCCTGGATTTAATATTCTTTATGACGTATGATTTTACTTTGATGTTTTGCATTTTATTTTCAGAAACTTTTTAAGGATAAGGATGGTCAGCTCTCTGTTATTGGGAGGCTTGCGGCAGGTGCTTGTGCTGGCATGACATCCACTTTTGTGAGTAATAATGATATATAAGGTCTTGCTAGATTGTAGTCCATAAAATTGCTTCTTATTGGAGTTTACTTGTTTCTTTTAAAAATGATCTTCCTTTTTCTTTTTCTTTTTTTTCAAATATGACGGGCGTTCTGCTTCTAAACTTTTCTGAGGGTTACTTTTTCTATTTTCTTGGAATTTGCTTTTTGTGTCACTCTTCTCTCAAACTAAGTTGTTTGCTCTTATTCTTGAAATTAATGACCGTTTGTCACTGCCTAGGTGACATATCCTTTAGATGTCTTGAGGTTACGCTTAGCAGTAGAACCAGGGTATCAAACCATGTCTCAGGTATGTTTGACCTGCTTGCATTATTTATATTTTGATTCCCCGTTCATAAGAAAATGGATAATAATGTGTTACTTCCAGGTAGCCTTAAACATGTTTCGAGAGGAAGGATTTGCATCCTTCTATTATGGACTGGGACCTTCTCTTATTGGAATAGCACCATACATTGCTGTGAACTTTTGCATTTTTGATTTGTGAGTTAAAAATAACCATTTCCTGAAGCATATTACTGAAGGTGATACAAACAAGATAATCTGTAGCTGTAATAACGCCTACGTTATCTTTTTGTAAATAACAGGGTGAAGAAGGCTTTGCCTGAGAAATACCAACAAAAGACTCAATCATCGCTATTAACGGCTGTTGTTTCAGCTGGTGTTGCCACACTCACATGCTATCCTTTGGACACAATTAGAAGACAGATGCAAATGAAGGGTACACCTTACAAGTCGGTTTTGGATGCCTTTACAGGTAAGTTAATGATGTTTTCGTTATTGTCATTGTCTCAAATATGAAACCACCTCCGTGGTATTGGCATGAGACATCAATAAGTGTGTTTACTATCAAATATTCTAAAATATAATTTTTAGTGCAATGGACAGGAGCACTGATTAGAGAGTGTATATTTTTTCTTTCTGGCTACAACAGATAATTGTTCAGCTGCAGAAATGAAGCACATTCTTCAGTTAGGGACACTGGATTCTAACTCTTTCCCATGAGATATATGTTTGGCTAGAAATTAGCAGAGTCGCATGGTAAATATGATATTGGATATGCCACTTAGAATGAAATTGTATTGCTGAGGCAAATGGTTAGGCAAGACACTGTAAACTTATATTAATAGGTAACTCGATTAAGTTAAACCGACGATGAGTTAATTGAGTCTTACTTACCAGTTCTTTATTCTTGATGTGCTGAACAAAGCCCACTTTTTGTGTCAATTGATAATCTTACGAGTTTCTAGCTTATGAATTTGAGATCAAGCTTTTCAAATTATAACTGTTGTGCTGTCTCTGAATGTTTTGTTTTATTTATGTTATTTGTTAATTATTCGATCTTCAGCAAACCAAATAAGGTGCTGCATCTTATTGTATTCTGAAATTTCCCCTCCCAACTTTACATCTAATCCTAGCTTTTTGTAAGATGTACTCCAAAACTCATGCATCTTAAAGAGGTTATCACTTTGATTTCATTTAATAATATATGTTATAATTGTCAATATTTAGTTGAACTTTTTTGTGCCTTGTCCTCCATTTTGCATTTCTTTATGGGAGATTAAATTTTTTATGCCTAGATTTTCATTTGTATCTAACTTTTCCTTATTGACAAAGGTATTGTGGCACATGAAGGAGTTGTTGGCTTGTACAAGGGTTTTTTGCCAAATGCATTAAAAAACCTGCCAAACAGCAGGTTCACATTCGTTCTGTTGCATTTTTTTAATTTTCATGGTCATCATATCCTTCTTTGTGATATTTCTTCTTTTAATACTAGGTAATCTCCAAACCTAATTTCATAATTATTGGTCTCTCTTGGTTGCAGCTAAGAATGCCTTGCATGACTTTCTCTAGGACATGGTGATTTAGTTCTTCATTCACACTAATTATACCTTAAGTCATACTATTTGAATATTAAGAGAGGGAACTAATTTAAACATTATTGATGCCAAAATCATTTATTCCATAGACATGCACACTAATTATACCTTAATCATTTTGTGCTTTGCTCCGCAATTCTCTCTTCATTTATCTCATGGCATATAATTAGCTTGTAAGTTTTAAGAGTTAGCTCCAGTTTTTATAATCATTTTTTTCCCATGGCTCCATCATCGAGGATGAGTATGTGCATTCCAGGTTATGTGAATCGTGTAAATTGTCTGCCATATGAGTCTATTTAATTTGTGAAAATTTTAAATGTTCATTCCAGAGAGAGAAAAAGAAACTCCAAGCTTACTCACGGCATATATCATTTGATTTCTTCTTGTGTATTTCCAGTTTCATTGTTGTTATTCTTACCCGCATTACCCTAATACACCATTTGTTCCGTTTCCTACTGCAGCATTAGGCTCACTACCTTTGACATTGTTAAACGTCTAATTACTGCAAGCGAGAAAGAGTTCCAAAAAATTGTGGAGGAAAACCGCGAGAAACAAAGCCAGAATGCCAAGATATAAATTCTCCTGATCTTTATCCATCTCTATAGCTGAATGAACTATTATTCTCCTGCCCAATATTCCTGTGGCGATATGTTCCACCAGAACCGTCCGTAATTCGTAGGTATATTGTTTTGCCAATATAGGTTCAAGATGCAGGAGAATTCCTGAGCGGCCAGTGGTGTTACTGTTCTGCTCTGTTTGTTCGTTAAACATTTTGTGCTAGTCAGTGCGCCATTCTTTTAGGTACACCTTTAATAAGTAGGGTTCTAGGGTAATTAGAGTTGTGAAGAACATCTGTACGGCAAGCCTAGATTTTGAGCTTCCTGCAGAGTAGTTCCTCATAGGAGGTTTGTGTTTCTGTAAAACAGTTTTTTTTTTTTTTTTGCCTGCCAATATTGTTATCTCATTTCCAGAATTTTATATTTCATTCTCAGTTTCCCACTCCTTAATTCTTGTATTCCATAAACTTATTGCTAAGCAGGAGCCTGTCTAATTTCGGTTTATATATATATCTCTCTCTGTCTCTGTCTTTTGTGTGTGTGTGTGTGTGTGTTTAATTTCGGTTTATATCTCTCTCTCTCTCTCTCTCTCTCTGTCTTTTGTGTGTGTGTGTGTTTAATTTCGGTTTATCTCTCTCTCTCTCTCTCTCTCTCTCTCTGTCTTTTGTGTGTGTGTGTGTGTGTGTTTAATTTCGGTTTATATCTCTCTCTCTCTCTCTCTCTCTCTGTCTTTTGTGTGTGTGTGTGTTTAATTTCGGTTTATCTCTCTCTCTCTCTCTCTCTCTCTCTCTGTCTTTTGTGTGTGTGTGTGTGTGTGTTTAATTTCGGTTTATATCTCTCTCTCTCTCTCTCTCTCTCTGTCTTTTGTGTGTGTGTGTGTTTAATTTCGGTTTATCTCTCTCTCTCTCTCTCTCTCTCTCTCTGTCTTTTGTGTGTGTGTGTGCGCGCGTGTGCGCACTTTATATTAATTCCAAAATCACATTTGTGCTATGATAAAATTAAATGAACAATTAGGTGTGTGTGTGTGTGTCGTGCGTGGTGCGCTTTATATTAATTCCAAAATCACATTTTGTGTTTGTTTGACTTGAATAGATTAGAATTTAGATGCATTATCAATCAATTTGAAATATTTTATATTATAGAAATAATAATAAAAAATTTATGTCATTTCTAAACCCGAAACAACAGAGTATTTGCACCTGATAACCACAATAACATCTCTGGTCATCGCTTGATCTTAATGTTTCAAAAATTAGGGATGTGTAAACTGGTTAACTGGACCAAACTGGTCAATTTTCGGTGAATCAGAAAATTGGTTCAAGCAGAAATCCAACCGAAACCAAATCAATTTACTGCTTAAACCGGTTTTAAACCGAATAGATAACTAGTTTAAAAAATCGGTTAATTGGTTTTTAATAAAAAATTTAAATTTCTAATTTTCTTTATTTCATCACCAGTTAATTTCTGCTGCCTGCTGTTTATTTCATTTTCTGGTACTCAACATATATCACTGGTATGCTATACTATTTTCAAAGATTGAATTTTAGCAATAAAAAGTCTATAAAATAAAATAATAAGAAGACCGCTCAAACTTGACTTAAGACGACTCTGTTTTCTGCAGCCTGATAGTTTTTGAAGAACAAATGATTGTAAAATTCAGTTGTTAATTTATGAGCTACAAGATTTTGTTCTTGAAGAAGAAGAAAAACTCTCTATGCGATCTTACAGCACACTGCAGGCAAGAATCAGAAAACTGCAATCTTCCACCATATACCTGACTGTGATTATGCGGCCAAGGTATCAGACTTAAGTTGCTGGAATGGACTAACACAATTGCAGCAAAGAATGGATCAGCTTCAAGATCAAGAACCCTCATCCAATAATTAATTTTGTCAACAAAATTCATCTCAGCAGTAATAGAAACACTGCAAACAGAAAAGCTTAAGGGACACTGTCTGCATTTCCCAGTTACCAAACTTGAAACTAAACATCACAGGGCATTGTCAGTTGAATCATCATTCAATGTGTTTTGTAACAAGAACCAGTAAACTCAGGAATCATTATTCTGTTATGAAGATTTAAGGAAATTTTTTTTTTTTTTTTTCAGAAAGGTAATATTCATGACCAAATGGAATGAAAAGTGAATTCTTTGCTCTCAAGCATTCTGGAAAGTCATTTTCCAGATATCAGCCTAGTTCATATAAGCTCTACATATCATCCACAAGCATGTTGCCAAATGCAAACTCTGTAGCAGTTACAGTTACAACCAAGTAGAACTAGCATGTCATCATATCTCAATTAATCCAGCTTTTCTTCTCAAACAGAACATAAACAAACAAAACTATTAACAGAATCAGAATAAACTTGCAGAAGCATATATATAAGCTTACTTCAAAGAAACAAAAGGATTCACATAAAAACAAACATAGTAACCAAGATATAACCCATCTACAAAGAGCAAACCATGCACAAAAGACCTGACCCACATCATACTCTGATATAATGAAGAAAATGTAGATACAAAGATGAAGTTAAAGAAGAGAATTCACTGTCATTTGTGCTGAAACAACGCTTCATTGACAACCACCAAATAAAAAACAAACCAGTTCAAGGAGAATCGCATAGTTTCTTCTTTTTCATTATTATAAAGTCAACCAAAGCATTTTAATGTTTCTTAAAACAAAATACATATCAACAAATAACTTATTACTCAATCCTGATTTACAATTTTTTTTTTTTTTTTAAGTTTTTCCATCAAATCAAGCAATTAGAAAATAGAGACAAATTAAATTATATAAAGTCAAAGAAAATATACCTATCTATCGGAATGCCCTTCATCATCCATACAGCACAAGTATTTCCATTCCAAAGACAGAAATTCTATAAAATGTTGGACAAGCTGTTATATAAATAATGGTGCAAAATATAGTTAACAAATCCAACAAGACATAATAGATATTGAAAGTAAAGAAAAAATTTTACCCGACTCAATTTTTGATAATTCATCCAAGCTCTCCTCAATGATGATGGCTCACGTGTAGTCCGAATCCAATCTCGTGTACAAATAAGAGCTTCCACCTCTATGAGTAAGGGAGCTACGAAATGGATCTAATACATGACCTCCCGTACTAAAGCTGACTCAGATGCAAAGTAGAAACAGGCATAGCCAATAGATCTCTGGCTATCCAAGAGAGAACTTGATATCTTGTTGAATTTATCTTCCACATTTCAAGATATCAAACGTTTTGTCTTTGTTAACTTCACAATCGCTCTAAATATTTATCTAACTCTGATTTGTGCTGAAAAGCTTGCTTTTTAGCCCTTGTTTTTAACATAGCCCCATAAAGTCTCCAGGATCAAGATTTGCATCATGAACATCAATCTCACTTCGCAACCTGAATCTCACTGACTGTGCACTAGGATCCACCTTCAGCAAACTGTATTGCTCAAATAAAGACAACAAAGTTGCCTTAACTTTTGTCTTCAACTTAGCATTAACGACATCATAGGACTCATCATTACCCAATCATCACATATTCTAACTTGTGCAGGATCTAGTACCGCTGCAACAAATAACATTACGTTGATATTATCAACATTTACCAATATTTATCATGTTTTCCCTTCATCCTTTCAGCCATACTACGTAAGCCAAGATCATCACTTTACACCATGTTGAAATCTCAACCATGCCATATATCTCTCGCATGTAGCATTACCAGTAACATAAAGAGAACCAGACAACGTAGAGTACATCATAAAAACTTTCAAAAAAGGTAACAAGTACGAACATTTCCCAATCACCTCCGCTAGGCAAACCCTTGACTTGTCCCCACTAGTAAGCCGTCCCTATACTCACTATCTTTATTTCCAACAAGTCAAACGCTTTTTGAAATTTTAAAGCCACATCCACATTAAGTAAGTAGAGTTCCACCTTGTTTCTACATCAAGAACCAAATGATTTTTATTTTCAATTTTTTCTTCTCCACACATTCTTAAACTTTTGTAACCTTGATGGAGAAGACCCACATACCCACTGCAGAACGAATTCTAATATGGAGTCATCCATATCTTTTAACACCTCCTTTACACATTAAACTCAATTATGTGCACAACATCTCATGTGAAAACACCATCCAAGACACTTCCCTTCCAACTGCTAATCGAGTCAAGATAGCTTATTCCAACATCATTAGAACTTGCATTATCTACAGTGACGTGAAAACATTAGAAATACCCCAATAAAGCAAACAACTCTCAACTGCTTGCCAATTATTAACCTTTATACTTGTAACTGGGCAAAAGTTTAATCTTTTTCTGTAGTTGCCAATCATCATCAAGAAGTGAGCCCTAGACACATATAATGAGGTTTTGACAACTTGTCCATGTATCAATGTGAGAAAACTCTTTGAGAAAACTTACTAAAAAACTTCTTCAACTTTTGACTCTCTTCAATATAAATTTAAAACAATCATAGCCACAGTTTTACGGAGGGTACTTTAAACGGGGTTGTACCACCTCATCAAATGCGGAACCCCTCACGCTCAACAAAACTAAAGGGTAACTCATCGATAATGACCATTTTAGCTACAGCCAATTGAAGCACTTTTGATCGAATTTCCATGACAATAGTGAAGATTGTACATGGTTGGAATACTGCTTGATTGGTCACGTAAATGTGTTGAAAAACTAAGGTCTTTTCTCTCTTGTCCACCACATTCAAAGGATATTTTTACATCTACTTAAGTGATTACATAGACAACTAGTATCTCTCCTACTCGGACAAGCAAGAATAGTCCCACAATAATTACATGAAGCAGTCACATCATCCCATTCTCACAATCATTTTTAGTGAAGTGATCCCACATTTCAGAAGTATTCTTATTTATTAGTAAAACTCACAGTTTGGGATGTAGATACTGGTGGTGCCATGAAATTATTTGGAGTTGAGTTGCACTTGTCGGTGTCGGACTGGAGTGCCACCGATGGAGGACATCTAAATATCATTAAAAAAAAATGCATTAAATAACATTTTTAAAGTATAGCAAATTAATAAATATGTTTAATATTATTATCATTCAAATGTAACAATCATCTATTGATAAAAAAAACAAATTATCCAAATATACAACCAATTAAATGATTAATATTATCAACAATTTCTTTAACTTTCCATGAGAGCATCACTTATTTTTATGATACAAACAAAACTCCCTTCCACATTTAAAATCAAATCGGGTTGTCCTTAAAGTTTATAACAGGTTTTAGGTTATAAGTATTTAGCTCAAAGTTTTCTAATAGCAATAGCCAATACTAATGCCCAAAATCTCAAACACTTTGGCTCAATATTTCCAACTCATGTAGCTTTACAAGCTTAAAATGTCATATTGCAGTATACTTAGAGTCAATATTTCACACCAAATGCTCACCGTTAGTTAAACTGAGGTAAAGGTGATATGTTCAGGTGGACCGGTTGCGCTTTATAAACGCTGAAGGAGAAAATCCCTTGGTCCGGGCTGCAAAATGTAACCAAACAAATTTTAAATGCATGATAGAATATCTGCAAGCAGGAAAAACAAGCTGATCACAACTCCAAACTCAAAAAATCGTCAGCACAGTAGCCAATATATCAAAAGTTTCATAACCCACAACCAGTTTTAAAAAGTAAACACATCGACCAGGATACCACATTGCACCTCAATTACAGCTAAATCATTTAACCCCCCCCCCCCCCCCCCAAAAAAAAAAGAACTAACTACACTCTGACAAAAGAGAAGCTGTTGATCAAGTGGACTACATGTTAAAGCTAAAAGTGTCCATAAGAGCTTGCACTGCTGTCAAATAGAAGCTTACCATAAGTTCCCCATCAAGCTCAGAATGATTGATATATTGTCGAATCTAAAGCATAGTCCCAAGTTAATCTTGTAAATCACCACTAGGTTCACAATTGAGACACGAAATGATTTAAAACTGCCTTGCAAACATGGTTCCCACTTTCCACTATGTAGGTTGCACTATTAAAACACCAATATAAAGAAATTCGAAGCAATTTTTTTGAGATATTCAGCCGCCCAATCTTTATCCATCAGAAATCTTAAATCCTCACCCAAAAATATATATATATATATCTGCATGAGATATTAATTCATATAACCAGAAAAAGAAATTGAAATTCTTGTATTGCACTCTCAGCAGGTCTAAACATAGCAACAAAAGCTGAAATATTCACCCAATTTTTTATATTAAAAAAAAATTCTTATCTAAACTTAACAACCAAAAGAATACGAAACTTATTGAATTCACCAATTAAAACCCAGAAAATAAAAATAAAGTATTTGATAATAAACTTTGCTAAGTACTGTATTCTCATCAGTATATAAACTTTGAAGACATGGAAGAGAGATTTTGAAGAGAAAATTGGAAAAGAGAGAGAGAGAGAGAGAGAGAGACATGTCTTTTACATTGCTGAATCGGCGGACGGCGGTTGCTGGCTAAGCTGGACACGTGAGCTTGGCAGATCGGCGGCAGTGACTGTTGAGGGTGAGCTGCGGAATTTGTGAAGAAGCTGAAGACTGAAGAAGTGAAAAGCGCCGCGGACTCCGACGGACCAGCGGGCGGCGGTGACTGGTTGTGAAGAGCGGCGGAATCTGTGAAGAGTGAAGACTTCTGATGCGGAGGAGTGGCTGAGTGCGGAGTTAGGCACAAAGAATGGCAACTATAAAACTTCGGGTTAGGGTTTTAGCCTTTTAGGTTTACACTAAATTTAGATTTCGGATTTTTTTAAACATCGGTTTTTAAAACCGGTTTCGGTTAACCGGTTTCTAAAATTTAGATTTAGGATTTTCCCTCCCCCGTCATAAATCAATGAACATAAGATAACCGCTTAAGCCGAAAACAAGCCGCCATCGGTTAGTGAACCGGTTCAAGCAAAGATTATACAGACGTTCATTTGGTTGCTGAAGATAGAATCGAAGTGAAACGCACCTTGCTTTGCTTCGCTCACTCTCTGTTTTTGTTTCAGCAACTCATTTCGCTTAAAATGTCTTACGCTCTGCAACTCTCAGTCCCTGCACGTACTTTTGAGTCTTCAAATAGTAATAGAAAGAGAGCAAGAGCATGTCATTCGTTTCAACCCAATATTCCAGAGCAACCCAATATTCCAGAGCAAGAAGAAGCTGACACTGGAAGGTACTCTATTTCCTTTCTATCATCCGTTTGCTTTCTTTGATTATTGAATTGTTGATAGTGAATTATATATTTCTTGTGATATTTTTTTTCTTAAAGCGTTGAATTGTTACAGAGTTCAAGACCAATCGCATGTGATTTTGGTTGAGAGATACGGCAACGGGAGTGCCAAAAGGTCGCTACTTAATTCATTCCTTATTATTTTTTTTTTCTTATTTTTCTTAAAAAAGTAGTATCTTTCTAAATTACTTCTAAAGATACTGTTAGAAGCGTACATTTCTTTTTCTTTTTCTTTTTTGAATTCAGACCTCGATTCCTGGCCGGAGGACATTGTTAAACTCTCTCTAAGCTAAATTTCTTAGAGAGAGTTGATAGGAGTTTACAAATTTTTTCTTTTAGTCAATTCCTTCAGCAGGATATAAGGACTCGTCAGTAGGGTATTGTAAGTGGCCAGATTTTAATCCATCTCTGGGAATAATTCAAGGAAGTTCTGCACTTAATGGAAAATTTAAAATTGTTTAGTGTCTTAAGTGATAGGAGAAATTCTTTACCAGTTTTTTCTGAAGATGGACTTATAGTTAGGTATTTTGTAATCTATAGTTTGTAAACTTATTGATTGAACCCAGGGTTAGGCTTTGAGATGTTTTCTTGATTATTTATAAACAGGTTCATCTTAGATGATGAATGGCAAGTGCAAACCTTGCTTGTGGAACATGATTCTGCTGATAATAGATTGCAAGGCTCACATTTCTCTGACATGACTTTGTCCTTCCTTCCTAATGTTGTGAAGGATTTCATTTTACCTGCTGGCTTCCCAGGTGACTATCATTGACTTTCAATTTTTATCTTTTATTCTTAGCTTTGCACATTAATATTTTGAACTACTTTTCTCATTTTCCAGATAATGATACTGTCAATAACTATGAAATTATGGATACTTTTATAGAGTAGAACCAGATCTAGGGTTCAGTTTATAGTGACCCAGGAGTCATAGAATTTGGTTATCATATGTGAGCACAAAAAAACAGTCTTGATATGATATTTTTAGCTCTATGCAGTTAGACTTTCTGACTTTCTTCCCTTCTGATGTAGGATCGGTTTCAGATGATTACCTGCAGTACATGTTGCTACAGTTTCCTACCAATGTTACTGCATGGGTTTGTCACACATTAGTCACATCAAGTCTCCTAAAGGCATGTTGATTTAACTCATGCCATTGACTTTGCTTCGGTATGTGCATTAGAAATTTAGATACTTTATACCGTTAATTTGGTCAATTTGTTGAGAAGTGAGAACTAGAAGATCTTATTGCACATTTACTTTGATGAAATTATTTTTCTAACAGATTTTTTAAATAGCTCAGGCATCAGGATATTATTTAGCACAGGTTCTTGATTGGATGCATGTAATTGTAGGAAGAGTTTCTGATAGGAACCTACTCCAATAACTAAACAATTGGGTTGGGCCATGAGTCTTTCATGGGCTTAGGTAGAACTCTCCTTGGAAAACCGGCTTGTCAAGGAAGAGTGTCCAAGCCCTTATAACCCACATGCCCACCCTTTTCCTTTCTAATGTGGGATCTTAACAGTTTCCTTTCGAACTTTTCAGGAATTACTGATATTGTTCTATGGTGTTATGTAATATTAAGAGCTGTGTGGTAGTTTCAAATCTAAATAAAAGGATTCAAGTTTTGCCTGCTATATCTTGTTGATATTGTTTATTAATTTACCTGAGTTAGTGTAAGACCCATCACAATGCAATCTGCCCTTTATGAATTTCTTCTGCTGATCCTTCTAGATTTTTAAGTGCATTCTACTGAAGAGCTTTGAAAAGAATAATGATGCTAATGATTACTACAATACTTCAGGCCGTAGGCATTGATTCTTTCTCAGGAACTACTGCTGCTGTTTCTGCTGCTACTATCAAGTAAATTCCATTTTCATTAACTCTATATATAAAATCATGTGGGATATCTAGTTTTATATTGGATTAAGCTGTAAGTTTTTAGTTTTATGATTGATTCTGAAGATGGGTGTCAAAGGATGGCATTGGAGCTGTTGGGCGCTTATTCATTGGTATGTTCATTGTGAAATTAGCTAAAGGAATGAAAAGTTGTGTAGAATTTTTTTACTAATTGTTGCCATCTTTCCAGGTGGGCGCTTTGGAAATCTTTTTGATGATGACCCAAAACAATGGCGCATGTATGCAGACTTCATTGGCAGTGCTGGAAGGTCTGTGTAACAAGCTTTTGAAATTTAAACCAAGTGATGTTATTTTAATTTAAAAATAACCTGAATTCATGAAATTTTTTAATCCATCATGCAGCATCTTTGATCTAACTACTCAAGTTTATCCTGCCTATTTCCTGCCTTTGGCATCTCTAGGAAATCTTGCCAAGGTATTCTGCTGAGAAGAGCTTTTATTTGTACTGTTTATATTTATGTTTTAAAATTTACAACTATTGTCATGTACCCTGTTATCCACTTCCTACATTTGCTTTACTCCATCATGCACTAATAGATTATGAAGAGTCATTCCCTCAAGAACATTTTTTTTAAAGGTTTACACAGCTGCAATATGTGGTGGATCTAAGTCAGATATATACCATGCCTAGAGCCTCTATTCCATGGAACAGAAATGTGATTGCTGAAAGAGCCACGCAATACTTGTTGTCAGTTAGTTACTTTTGTTTTTAATGGAGAAAAATATAAAATTTCGAAGAAAAAATTTTGAAGAATTGAAGAGGGAGCAAGAGAAATAGGGAATGTGCCAACATACTAGAATCTTTGTTTTTCTGGCTGTCTCCAGTTCTCATCTTTGGTTTTGTCCAATATCAAATCAAGATTTCAATTGCCAACTTATAAGATGTTTTCATATTCTATTACTTTGCTCATGATTGAAAATCTTAAACAGGCTGTAGCAAGAGGACTGAAAGATCCTTCGTTCCGTGTGATTCAAAACCATTTTGCAATTTCAGGAAATCTGGGAGAGGTAGCAGCAAAGGTATACTTTTTATATGTATATACTTTTAACTTGCTGTTTCTTACTAATTAATTTAGCTTTTTAGATAGTGAACCTTCTCTCATGTTCATATATTTTTGCGTAATATTTTTTGCAATTTTTCTTCTCAATTTTCATAAAATCGGGATGCATATTGGAGATATTTCAGGAGGAAGTTTGGGAAGTATCTGCTCAGCTGCTTGGTCTTGCTTTGGGCATACTGATCCTGGTATGTTATATAGCCTCCCTGTAGTAGATGTCAATTAATGGTGACAATTATACTCTTGGTTTGTGTATGAAATTTGAAAAGTAATATCATCAATGCAGGATACACCTGGTCTTGTAAGATTCTATCCAGTATTGGCATTGACATGGACAAGCATGCGGCTTCTGCACCTTTGGTTACGTTATCAGTCACTTTCAGTTCTACGATTTAACTCAGTAAGAATGTTAATACTTTCAGTTACCTTTTACTAAAATGTGAATTGGTGCTTAAGTTGGAGACCACTCTGTCAGGAGAGTAGACAGAATTTATTTTTGATATCTCCTATGTAATAATATTGTTTTAAAATTTCTTGGTGGATTTATTTATTATGTTTTACAATTTTTTGACAGATAAATCTCAAGCGTGCTCGTATAGTGGTAAAATCACATGTTTTATACTCAACTGTTCCAGGTGAAATTGATATTCTTGTTCATTTTGGAATTTAAAATAGTTCTCTGTCACAGACTTGCAACAATGACGAATGTTTTTTAATTTTTTTTTTTTCAGGATTTGATGATTGTAATAAGGAAGAAAATATTTTATTATGGGAAAAATTCATGAAGCCGCGAATAATTTTTGGTGTTCCCTTGGACGAGATGGTTGGTGGTGAGAATTCTGTTTTCAAGGTATTTCCTCACTTCCTACTGTGATATTACATTTAAATGCTTAATTAAGTCATCCAGAGCTTCAATGCTGTATTCCCCAGAATTTGCAACATTCACAATTTTATTAAGGCCCGACTTTTTTTTTTTTTTTTTCAATTTTTGAAACTTTTCTTAACTGTGATATATTAACTTTAGTATTCAATACCTGTAACATTTGCAAAATCAAATCTTAATCTCTTTCGACTTTTTATAAGTCACAATTATTGTTTGTTACTTTTCTTTTGAGCAGTTGAAGACACTTCTGAGAATATATTCAAAGGAGAAATATATTCTAATTGTGAACCAACTAGGAAGAGATTTTGAGGTCTTTGTATCATTCAAGGTATGTGCTCGAAATTTCTTCGCAGCACTTAACGCAGTTATTTATTCTTGAGTTTAAGTAAATTTAGAAATTTCCCTGCAGGTGGAAGCTACTAGTATGTCAGTTTTGCGAAGTGTGTGGCAGACATATTGGCTATATGAAAAGTTGGAAAGCTCAGGTAATCTCTTTGACCAGCTTTCACAGAGCTTATCGGAGATGGAAGGAAGGTTTGAGGATTTCATACAGCAGTTAGAGAAAGCTGGATGGGATACTCATCAAATAAATCTGAAAGTCCCCAAGGAAATCTCCATAGATGAATCGAGTTAATGATCAAAATCAGCAATCGGATTTGTATTTATCCTGAGCTCCTGCCTGCAGAATTCCTGCTGTCAACCAAACTGTACTTGATAGTTTCATTCCAAAACAATGAAGCTAAGTATGCTGGTCAATGAAAGAACTCTTCAATTAAAATGCCGCTTCGTTTTGGATCGTGTAACGCCTCTAATCGAGTTTATGATGATGAGATTCAGCGAACATGAACGCATTAAATTTTGGGTTGTTAAATTTCTTCTTTTTCATGCAATAGAAATTATATGCTTAAAGCTACTTGAAATGTAAATTGCAGCCTAGTATTTGAATCTTTTCCAACGGAGTGAATTACTCGGTGCTAGTTAAATTACATAAGATCTTTGTCATACGACACCGTTTGGTTCCTTGAAACGCCGTCTGGCGGCAAATTTCTTAAATAGCATATAAGTAAAGTGAACAGTTGAAAATGCAGTCAACGACTCTCGGTGTCAGTTGTCAATGGTAAAAACCCTAACTATGGTTTTCTCTCTGCGTTTCTCGTCTCTCTCTCTTCCTCCACACAGCACCATAACACTTTATACAGTACCGCACGTGCCAAACCACAGATTAAGATCGACCTCAAACTTGTCACCTCCTTCTTCAACGCTCCTCATTAAACACTCTCTATGTCCCTGTGCCGCCCCCAAACAGCAACAACATTTACTCGTCCCCGAGGAAGAAGAAGAAGAAGAATTGAAATGTATTAATGAAGCTCCATCGTTAGAGAATGATTCGCTGCCTCCGGGCATACGGAGGGAGTGTATGCCGAGACACGTGGCGGTGATCATGGATGGGAACCGACGGTGGGCCCGCTTGAGAGACCTACCTGTGGGGTCAGGTTATGAGGCCGGTGTCAAGTCCCTTAAAACGCTTATTGAACTCTGTTGCAAATGGGGAATTCGTGTTCTAACTGTTTTCGCTTTCTCTACTGATAATTGGTTTCGTCCTAATGTCTGTTTTTACCTCTTTTTTTTTTTTTTTTTAATTAATTAATATCTCATTTAAAATGAATTCATTGTCATTTAGATTTTGTGCATCTTTTACAGGTGGAAGTTGAGTTTTTGATGAGCTTGTTTGAAGGGGGAGTGAAGGATGAAATGGGGAGCTCTTTGAGGTAAACTTTACGAAACTATAATTATTATTTAGTATTCAAAGCTTTTAAATTGAAACTAAAAGCTGATATCTATCTGCTAGAATGGTTAGAAATTTTGGTGGCATAAATTAGATTTTCTAATTGTTGTTGATGCTTTCGCAAGACTCCATCTTAAATTTGTGCAAATGTAGATTCTGAGAATAGATTTTAGATAATAATTTGGGCATCAGCTTTTATTCATATCATAAGTTAAACTGTTACATAATCGTTTTTCAGATGTATGTTATAGCTGGAATTCTTAATGCACATTATCTAATCCTTAGACTTTGTTCAATTCTTTCTTACCATGAAGTAGCTGTCAGCTTATGTGTTATCGACGAGGTAAAAGAAATGTCCTGGTGTTTTTGTCAGGCTTAAACCTTCTCTTTTATGAAAGATTACTTGGTAATCTGCTCTGGGCTGTCACTTTTGCTGGGAATAGGAAGCTTCTATATGCCCTGTTCCAAAATTCAAGATTATTCTTTATGATTATTTTATTGTTTTTAGCAGCATCATAACTTTTAAATCATATTGTCCTAAAATTGTGCAAATGAAGGTATCTTCCACTATTGAGTTTTTGGCTGCCTTTAAGAAGAGGTCATTGGAGGTAATACATAATTCCAAATTTTTTGTTGGCTTATATCAGGGAGAACATCCGAATATCTGTAATTGGAGATATCTCTAAGCTCCCAAAGTCCTTAGAAGAATTAATAATCAATGTGGAGGAGAGTACTAAGAACAATTCCCAATTCCAACTTATTGTAGCAGTTAGCTATAGTGGGCGGTATGACCTTGTTCAAGCTTGCCAAAGGATAGCTATGAAGGTCAAGGATGGTATTATTGAACTTAATGATGTCAACGAGTCTTTAATTGAACAGGAGCTGGAAACAAACTGTACTGACTTTCCCTACCCTGATCTACTTATACGAACCAGTGGTGAGCTTAGAATTAGTAACTTCATGTTATGGCAGTTAGCCTATACCGAATTATTCTTTACACAATCACTGTGGCCTGATTTTGGAGAAGCTGACTTTTTAGAGGCATTGCAATCCTTCCAGCAAAGGTGGAGACGCTATGGTGAATGAAACTTTTCGGTACTTGCATATATCTGTTGAGTCTTTATCATTTCATTGAAAAAACGTCAAAGAACCTACCAACTCAGGAAAGCAACTTTGAAGGAAAACTTGCTAGGAGCTTAATGTTGAAGTGAATTTTGATATCTGGAAGGGTTTAATTTAGCATGTAGATTTTTGTAGTTCATTGTTTCAGTGATCTGCCAGGAAGACACATCTGGGTTGTGGGTAGCAGTTTAAGACACTACTTGAAGAATTCGTCTACAAGGTTTTAACTGCTCCAAGACCGTTTACAACGCAGTTAAAAAAATCTGGGTGAATGCTACAAGGAATTTCTGGGCGAGCAAGGAGTGCCCATTGGCATGCTTGAATTGTGGGAAAATCTATTTATGAAAAAAAAAAAAAAAGTGGTTGGACTTGGAGATGTAACTCTATAATAGACTTAGGAAAACTTCTTGATCATGATTTTTAAGGTCTCTTGTGGGACTTGTACATGTATATTGCTGAACCAATTCCTGAAGGCCTACCAATCTTTTTCAGAATGTTGGCATCAAATTGAATTGTGCAAGAAAGAAGTAGAAGAAGGTTGAATCTGTTCTGGCAATGGCAAATACTCCAAGCTTTTATCTTTTATCCTTGGCACAATCAGGTATTAAATTGGTGTTTTGTTGTGTATGTGGCTGAAATTTTTATTAGTAGAAATTAAATCCTGTAAGCAAAAGGTTGCTTCTCACACTACAAATATTGTGCTCGGATAGAATACTTCATATTCTGGCATCCTTAATTAGAGTTTAACAGGTCATTGTCTTATTCAATTAGCATGAGTATTACCTTCTTAATCTAACTTTTAATTTATTTATAGATCAAGAAACTTTTGATTTAATAATTAGAGTTGAAACTTTCTTAAAACTGATTACTTAATTATCAGATAATTATTACTTAATTGTCATAGATGGGTTGGTTATTTTAATGATCTGGTTATAATATATAATAATAAATTGTATTAATATAATATAATTAATTAATGGAATAGTAATGAGATTGTGACTGGAAATATACCCTATAATGACTGATGACAGTTTTCGTATGAGTTTTGTCAATATCAATTTCAACTTAATTTTGATTAACTTCACTCATCCATATTTAGAGCAAACGACATGTTCCCGCCACCCAAAGATTAGCGAAATGGCAAGTTTTTATCCTTGGTTTCATATGTTCTCAACCTTAAAGTAACACTATTAGTCATTGTGGATTTTGATACAAATGCAAAGGGTGCTATAATGTTATTACCAAATTATCCTTCCATCTTCTTCTTCTTCATCTCCCTTTCCTCATTTCCAACCACTCAACAGTTGCTAGTGCCACCACCACCTAGCCATTGCCACCACCAATTCCTTTACCCCTTAGCTTGTCTGACTAGTTTCATAGCCAAATTTGCCCTATTTTTCTGTGAATTTCTCGATCGCATAGTCCACAACCTAGGACTGATTTGGATTGTTCCTATCTCTGTTGGCTTTCCCAGACCCCACCATTGGCATCCCTACCCTTCATTGACCAAGACCCCTAAGGTTCCTGCTTGGCTCGTCAAATCGATCGTCAGCTACTGTTACGTTAGGGTTTTGGATTTCTCAGTTGAATTTCAAGCGATTTTGGCAACCAAAACTCTTCTTGCCGCCATCCTTGGCATCAGTGGCACCTCCTCTTCAAAACCCCAATAACCCCACATCCTGACAACTCGTCGATCGACATCCATGACAACACTGCCTACTGTTGTGTTTGGGTTGTTTTTCTTAATTGTTTTGGCTCTGATTTCATTGGATTTTGGTTTGATTTGAATTGAAGCGATAGTCGCATAGGTGTGTTTGGGTCATCAGTTGTGATTCTGATCGAATGAGATATGGGATTTGGAATGATCGTTTTACCTTTTAATAGTTACATTCAACAATTTTATACTACTTTAAGGGTGGGAATTTGAAATATACGAAACCAGGTGAAAACTTGTCATTTTGCTGATCATTGGGTGGGAACATGGCGTTTGCCCTCCATATTTATTATAATAATGGCCGAACCAACCGTCAATTCTTTCAGCATTAATTTTGATTATCAAAATTACACTTTCTTTTATTAACTTTTAATTCACCGGTTGTACCAAATATCTATTTAATTATATTTACAAATGTCTCCTTGAATCTTCCATAAAATAATTATTTTCTAGAATATGTAGTTAAATCTTTTTCATATAATAAATGTCCTTTTATATTCTCCAGACCATTCGGACTTCTTTCAATTGAAATTGCACAGCAAACGTGATCGATGATTATTTAGTCATTTAATGCAAAATTTTAGTTTCATTATGAGCCGCACATGTACAATATTTTCATACATCATTTCTTATATTATATAATGTAACAAAACATGATTGAGTAGATTTATTTTTAATTTAAAATAATTTAATTATTTTTTATCATATTATATTGTACGAGAAATATTATATACGTAGTATTATATATATTATATGATCTGAAGTATTTGACTCAGTTATAAAAAAATTAGAAAATTTGACTTATCCATATTCTAATTATTAATTAATTAATTTAATTAAACAATTAGGTACTTATAATGACAAGATTAAAGAATGAATCTTGTATTAATTGATCTGATTACAAGGTTGCACAATTTGAATTTATATAATCCCATCTGGGTCCCACCTGTGGGGTCCAATATTCCTACCAATTAAAACACGTCGCGCTAGAAGCTTCATAAACAAACACGAAACGGACGGCCCACAAGCAACTGTTCGCCACGCGTCGTTGTGATCAATGAATCAACAATAATCATATCCTATAATTTAATCTCACTGGCCGAGGCACTGAATCTTCCGTACAACGAACCGGTGAGCCAATGAGCACGAAGGAAGGGCATGCAAGTAATTGAATTGAAGTAGAAGAGTTAGTTGTTTTAGGTGTAGGTGTTCAAGATGTTTTTTTCTTTTTTTCTTTTTTTTTTTTTGGTAGAGAGATACAGTACAGAGTCAGGTACTACTATTACGTGTGCTCTAAGTGAAAACCCAGGGAGCTCTTCTTCGTTAACCACTTTTTCTTTTTTAAAGTGAAAACAAAATTGTTTCTTACAAAAAAGCTTCTGGCTTTGAGAACTATGAATTGAAGAGTTGGTTTTTCTAAGGTGAGAGTGTAATGGGTTATTGTTGAATTTGGTTTTTATTTTGATGGGAATTTGTTAGAGGAAAGAGATGAGGAAATCGTTTAAGGACTCACTCAAGGCTCTTGAAGCTGATATTCAGTTTGCCAATACCCTGTAAAGATCTCTCTCTTTATTTATTTATTATTATTTTTTTTTTTATCTTTGGAGTTGTTTATTTTCTGTTGAATATTCTGGTATTGACAATTCTTTGTTTTTCTTCATCTGATATTACCCGAATTTTACTGAGTTTTGGAATTTTTGGAAGAAATACTGATCTTGTTTCTGGATAAGAGTTTTTCCTGGTGGAGTTTGATCGGATATGCGGGGTTTTTCTAATTTTTTTTTTAATTATTATTATTATTTTTTTTTTTTTTTTTGCAAGTTTTTTCTGTCTTTTCTATGGACTTTTTTGTTAGTTTCTGCATGAATTTTGCATTTTAGCCATCCGAGTGTTTACCTGTGCTGCAGAATTCTATTCACTGGCCAGTTAAATTTTGTAGGTTGATCGTATTTTCATTGTGCTTCTTCACAGTTTAGAGCAATTTTTGGCTGCTTTTGATTGATTTTTTCTCTTTTTAATCCCGTTTGCATTTTTTTTTTCATGCGCATTCACTTCTACAGACTCTAACTGGCTCACTTGTTGTAGTGTGGAGTTCTAGAAGCTTGTTTGGTTCCAGGGGATTTATTAGATCAACATATTCTATTTGGATTTTAGCGTTTTGTTTTGCTTAATTCTACTTTGTGACCTCCACCATTGTTTTTATGACCATTTTGTGTTACAATTTACTTTTTGAAGAATTTTGTAATTTTGTTGACTCATTCCTAGAAGCATTTGCTCGAGAAAATGCATATTTTTCGATCAGATTGATGGTAGTTGCTTAAAGGATGTAGAGAAAACCGACTAGCAACAATAGTACTGCAATTTGTTTTGTGGTTATGTCTACTTTTGGCTGTTAAAATTCAACTTATGCTCATGTAGCTCCAGCTGCAGTTTGATTTTATGAACCCTGTTCCGAGGGGCAATCAGTTGACATTAACATGTGGCACATTCGGTATGTTGTAAACTGCCCAGGTTCCCTGATCCCAGGCAATAATACCAGGACTTGCTTACCCATTACACCGACTCGATATAATTGAACGCCTAAAACCCTTTCTGTGCATTTATGATCACTTTGTTCCAATTATTTGTTCCTATCCTGAACATGAAGGGTAGGAGGTGTTGCATCTACAAGATTCATCATAGATAAAGGAGAGAATAATTTGGGTGATGAAAGCTGAGAGGAACTAAATCTCTGATAGACCTTGTTAACTTGTATAAAATTTGTTGTGATACAGGGCTTCTGACTACACAAGAGAATACGACGGTGCCTGCCTTCAAATGAGATTATCCTATAGTCCAGCAGCTCATGCTTTTCTTTTTCTTGTCCAGTGGACTGATTGTCGCCTGGCTGGTGCACTTGGATTGCTTAGAATATTAATATATAAGGTGATTTCGGTCTCTTCAATAAGAATGTAACATTCTTTACAGTTTCTGTTACTTCATTTCCAACATCTAAAGTTCCTTGTCAAGTCTCTAGGATATATCATATATAATTGTAGAAGTTAACGCTAATCCTTTTCTCAAGGAAGTGATGAATAATGGTGTCCTGTGTAGGCATATGTGGATGGAAAGACCACCATGTCTATTCATGAAAGGAAAGCTACTATAAGAGAATTTTATGGTGAGTAAACTTTAGGGGAGGTCACTTAATATTTTCAGCGAGATTCTTGCAACTATGTGGTTTTTTTCTCTATTGCATTTTATCCATATTCTGCATCCTTGAGGGAAAATTCTCTGTTGTTTGGCAATCATTTTGAATGTTCATATACAGGGGTGATATTTCCCTCTTTATTACAACTTCAAAGAGGAATTACTGATGTCGACGACCGGAAACAGAAAGAAATTTGCGCGTCATACAGAAAGAAAGATGAGATGGACAAGGGAAAGTTCTCTGAAATTGATATAGAGAGAGAAGAAGAATGCGGTATTTGCATGGAGATACAAACTAAAATCGTTTTGCCCACTTGCAATCATTCAATGTGTATGAAGTGTTATCGCAATTGGTAAGCTCTTGAGATTCTATGCTTTGTGTTTGTGGTTTCCCTTCTCTTGCGTGATACTAAAATTTCGCAATATTTTTTGCCGGCTATCTAGGCGAGGACGGTCTCATTCATGCCCGTTTTGCCGCGACAGTCTCAGGAGAGTGGATTCAGGTGACCTCTGGATCTACACCAGCAAGAATGAGATTGTTGATTTGGCCTCCATCTCAAGGCAGAATTTGAAGCGACTTTTTATGTACATTGATAAGTTGCCTCTCATTACTCCAGATCCAATGCTTGTTTCTTATGATCCTCGCTGCCGGTGAGGGCTTCTTTAAAGCGAAAAATTGTATATAACATGATATCATCTGGTTGGTTGTACATAATTCATGATTCCCATTTCCTCTGTAGGTGATTTAGAAACTGTAAACATTTGTTGATTGCTGTTGGCTTGCTTCAACATGATGCCTCTGGATCATGTTTTGTTCATTGGATTACATTATAATATAGTCAAATTTAATTTGTGAGCATTTCATGACTCACCTATCTTCTTCTTTTGGCATGATTGAATTCTCTGTTGCGACATAATGGACCTCCTATTCACAGCAAAACTGACTATTCAATTTTTCTATAAGACATAGTGAAAACTGAAGCACCTCGATTCGAGGTGTTGAATCGAAGGCAAAGGTCGGCAGGGAATCAAGAACTACTATGTATAAAAGAGGATAATTCATGCTGAATCTTCATACAAGTTACAAAAACCATATGACAGCACGATAAGGATAATATTTTCCTCTTTCAAAAAAGCCAGCAGGTCTAGCCTAAGAGAATATTAACACGACAAAAATTCAACCATTATATGTCCAAGTCATTATCATCCCATTTCAATCATCTTCATCTTCATCATCTTCCTCTTCTTCTTCTTCCACCTCTTCCTCTTCTTCTTCCTCCACCGATTGATGCTTTTTCTGCAAGAAAAACGTGGTGATGGCAATTTCTAGAATGAGAACAGGTAAGAAGGTTATATAAGTCATACATATTTCTGTATATTGAGTCGGAAAGATAAAAGTATTTGCAAATATTCTTTCCTTTCCACCTCACGGAACTTCTATATTTTGATCTCACAATTGTGAACATATCGAAAGCAGTAGTCACTAACAATTGTCGAAAGCAGTAGTCACTACCCAGACACCTTAAAGTTTCACACTCCCAATAACAACGAGCCACACAAAAATAAGAAAAAAGCTGCCACACCTATCTTTCCGATTGATATTTTACCCATTCAACAACCTCGAGGACATAAAACAACATCTGAACCCAAAACTATGACAATGCAACAGTAATTAACAATTAAATCTGTAAATTATGACTAATTGTTTAATCAATCCATTGACTAGAACTTTAAAAAAAAAATGCACTACCTCCCCATTGGCCTCATCCTCCTCTTCATCATGCACTTCAGACTTTGACTTGTCAGACTCCTCATCACCATCATCAGCTATGTCTTCCTGTTAATATAAAACGAGGAAAGTCAATCACATGATAGACCACCCAAAAGCATCACAAAGTGGAAAAGGATCGCTGCAAGTCATTCACCTGTTTCTTATTGTAAGCATTCATAAGCTTTCCATATTCAACCTTCCCTTTTGCTGCTTTGGCTTCATATGGAGCTTTTTCCTTCCAATTAGGTGAACATATATATCAGTAATATACAGTACAAATACCTTTTCTTCACAGAAGCAAGTTAATTTCAGAACACAGAAACAAACTCTTTAATGTTTAAGAATCAAATTCAGCCAAACAAGCCCTGTGACTCATGTCATCTGACAATTCTCAACGGTAAATACTTACATCAGGAGACATTGATTTCCACTTCTCTCCTGCAGCTTTCCCAACCTTTAAACACAGAATTTAAGTACATGAATCAACTCCTTAATCCATATAGATTGCCTCATCACAAAGAACTAAAATTTAATCTCATTTCATATTTATTCAAATATAACTAAACGCTTACAGCTGACACAGCAGTCACATGAGGATTGTCTTTCTTGAAGGTTTTCCTGAACTCCTCACTGTATCATCAGAATGGCATTAATTGATAATCAAAACTACCACACATGTTATTTCTGCCTCTCAAACCAACAGCAAAGTGAGAGACATACAGGAAAACAAAGAAAGCACTAGCAGGCCTCTTTGGTTTATTTGGGTCCTTCTTTGCCTTCTTAGCTTTCAGTGCACTACTCTTATCAACCTTAGCAGCAGCCTTCCTCTTTCCAACCTTTCTGAAAACAATGGAGATATATTAGATCCATCACAATAGCATTTATGTAATTGCTGTATAAGAAAACATCAAGCATAAGAAACCAGAAATCAACAGCCATTTACATAATCAGCATGAAACTACAACAAGAATTTGGCTTTTTGGTCAGAGATAAAGAGCAAAAATCCTATATAACTGTAAGAACATAGGACGAAGAGTATATATTTTTTCTTCTTTTGGATAACCTGAGAATCCCCTAAACTATATTCAATCTAGATTTGCGAATTTGACTTCAAAACTGGCCTATGCCACACCTATAACAATTGTAGAACAGGAAACTCAAAACTGAATCCAAGAAGTCGACTAACCGGTCATCAACAGGCTTCAAAGCTTCCTTCGATGTCGCACCCTTACCCTTGCCGCCCTTCATTGTTCTGTACAAACCAAAAGCTTAAATCAAAATGAGTCATACAATCCGTTGCGTCACTTTGTCATATATTCACACAACACCTTTAAGAGAAAAGATTAGCTCAAGCAGTTAAAGCTATAAGTCCAATAATTTTTTGTCAACACATGATCATAATGCGTGCCCTGTGGGAACAGAGACTCAAACGGTACAAAAATTAACTCCACATATTATTATTATTATTATTAAAAAATACGCAACTTAATTATGTAAAATAAAGAGAATAAACATCCAAAATTTATACAAAATCAAAATTTATTGTGATTTTTATATAAAATTGATTAAAAACTAGTGATGACTACAATAAACTACAAAATAATAAATTAAAACTAAACATTCTGCATAATCCACAATGAACTATAATCAATTTATATACAAAAATAATGATAGTTCAGACGATGAAAAAGCAAACTTAATTACAATTTAATTACTGAAAAAACAGAGCATAGCAATTTTCAATTAACATAAAATTAAAAAAAGAAAAGAAAAGAAAAAGGAACGATGAAACAAACAGAAAAAATAAAGTAGATCTAGAAAATCAAATTTACCTCAGAACAAAAATAACCGAACAGTGATCGTCTGTAGAGAAACAGAGAACCGAAGCGAGTATAAACTATAAAGCTGAGGTCAGAGAGAAAATAAAGAGCCAGAAAAGTGACCGGACTAGCCAGTAAACATCAGGTGTTTGCCGCCACAGGAGTCAATGTGTTTACCGGCTACAAGAGGTTTACTATTTGTCTAATGCTGTAAACGGCGATAATAATAATTACTAATTAATTGCATTTAATTAGGGCAAACTAAAAAGTGAAACAGATTCTACGTTTTTTTTATATCTATTTACGATCAAGGACTTGTAGAGTGACCGAACGGTGGTGATGATTTTACCGCCAAATTATCTTGTACGTGCAACGATAAGGGAGATTTTATGTCATGTTTTAGAAGAAGACACGTGGATACGTTTTTATTATATTTGACGTTTAACTTTTTGAAGCTTGACCGACTCTTCTAGAGTCTAGGGTGGCCCATTCGGGTTTGAGTTTATCCAACCTTGAGGCCCATATCTTACCTACTAGGACAATTTGGCCCTTCAATTACATGAGGCCCATTGACCATTTGCCTTAGTTGCCCTACTAAAAAATGTGTTCCCACCCAAGGTTTGGTGAAATGGCAAGTGTCCACCTCTAGTTTTATAAATTCTAAATTCTCACCCTTAAACCAACACCATTAGCGATTTTTAGCCTCAAATTAATAAATTACTTTTTTAAACCCCAAATTAATAGAGGGCGCATTTTAGCAGGAGGCGACGCACGTTAGCAAACATCGTCACCTACTTTTTCCACCATTTTGGGGTGACGACAACTTTCTCCACTACCACCATCCTCTTCCCCGTGCCTCACACACCAAAACTCCTCTTACCCCACCCACACTGACCATGCCAATCATCAGATTTTGACCGATTTGTGGCTTGCAAAGCCGTCCCTCGATTCTTTACCAAACTCGACCACCAAAATCCAATCTCTCACCACCCATAGACTCATTGCCCTCTCCTCTTCAAAAGTTTCAACAGTCCTGATTGAGTTACCTCTCCAATTGTTGGTGACCTTTCCTAGGGTTTCTTACTAGATTTTGTGAGTGAGTAATGCTATATTTATACCACCCATTACACCATGATGTGGCATATGCCACATCCACACAAATTTTTAATATTATAATAAAACAATTATTAGTAAAATGGTCATGGTGTAATGAAAATGATGTAATGGATGGTGTAAATGTAGCATTACCCTGAGTGAGTTTGGGTTGAAATTGAAGTTTTTTTGGAGTTGATTGAGTGAATTGGTAGTCTCTTTGGAATGATAGATTCTTTGAGTGTTTTTATGCTATTTAGGTGTCCTTTTTGGCCGATTTTCCTATCGTCAGCAACTCAACTTTTTTCTGCTCATTTGTGCACACCAGGTGTTTGTGAAATTGCCCGAGCCAACCCTCCACCGACCTCAATATGGTAAATGACTATATTACCCTTTGAGTATTATATTAAATGATTTTATACTATTTTAAATGTCGGAATCTATAATTTTTGAAAGGAGAGGTGGAAACTTGTCATTTCACCAAACCTTTGGTGGAAACATATTGTTTACTATAATTTTAATTAATTATATTTAAGAAAAAAAAATCTAGAAACAAACAGCTATATAAATTGAATANGAGATTTTATGTCATGTTTTAGAAGAAGACACGTGGATACGTTTTTATTATATTTGACGTTTAACTTTTTGAAGCTTGACCGACTCTTCTAGAGTCTAGGGTGGCCCATTCGGGTTTGAGTTTATCCAACCTTGAGGCCCATATCTTACCTACTAGGACAATTTGGCCCTTCAATTACATGAGGCCCATTGACCATTTGCCTTAGTTGCCCTACTAAAAAATGTGTTCCCACCCAAGGTTTGGTGAAATGGCAAGTGTCCACCTCTAGTTTTATAAATTCTAAATTCTCACCCTTAAACCAACACCATTAGCGATTTTTAGCCTCAAATTAATAAATTACTTTTTTAAACCCCAAATTAATAGAGGGCGCATTTTAGCAGGAGGCGACGCACGTTAGCAAACATCGTCACCTACTTTTTCCACCATTTTGGGGTGACGACAACTTTCTCCACTACCACCATCCTCTTCCCCGTGCCTCACACACCAAAACTCCTCTTACCCCACCCACACTGACCATGCCAATCATCAGATTTTGACCGATTTGTGGCTTGCAAAGCCGTCCCTCGATTCTTTACCAAACTCGACCACCAAAATCCAATCTCTCACCACCCATAGACTCATTGCCCTCTCCTCTTCAAAAGTTTCAACAGTCCTGATTGAGTTACCTCTCCAATTGTTGGTGACCTTTCCTAGGGTTTCTTACTAGATTTTGTGAGTGAGTAATGCTATATTTATACCACCCATTACACCATGATGTGGCATATGCCACATCCACACAAATTTTTAATATTATAATAAAACAATTATTAGTAAAATGGTCATGGTGTAATGAAAATGATGTAATGGATGGTGTAAATGTAGCATTACCCTGAGTGAGTTTGGGTTGAAATTGAAGTTTTTTTGGAGTTGATTGAGTGAATTGGTAGTCTCTTTGGAATGATAGATTCTTTGAGTGTTTTTATGCTATTTAGGTGTCCTTTTTGGCCGATTTTCCTATCGTCAGCAACTCAACTTTTTTCTGCTCATTTGTGCACACCAGGTGTTTGTGAAATTGCCCGAGCCAACCCTCCACCGACCTCAATATGGTAAATGACTATATTACCCTTTGAGTATTATATTAAATGATTTTATACTATTTTAAATGTCGGAATCTATAATTTTTGAAAGGAGAGGTGGAAACTTGTCATTTCACCAAACCTTTGGTGGAAACATATTGTTTACTATAATTTTAATTAATTATATTTAAGAAAAAAAAATCTAGAAACAAACAGCTATATAAATTGAATACCGAAAGTTACTTAGGATATTTCTTTTTATCAAAATATCATACCACAAATTTAACTGAAATGTTATAAAACAAAAAAAAAATGAAATATCTTTAATCAATTAAAAATTCGATAATAACACTTTTAATATATGCCAGTTATGAAAGATAAAAGATATTTTCTTTAGCGAAAAAATGATTATATGCTCTAAATTTGAAGGTAGCGTAGGCATAATAAAGTGAATAAACACATCCGGTTCTAAAATTAATGCTTGATTTAGAAAGAAAGAGCCTCACTCTCACAGCACAGGTGGCATCTTCCGACACTCAAATAATTTAATCCCGTTAAACTGAAGGTGATTTTAATAAATCCCCCATGAAGATCAGAAAGATTTTCTAGTCCCGGCAACAACAGCCACAACCTTTCAGCCGGACTAAAAACGCAGGCCCCACCAATTCTTACAATTAGATAAGGAAAGATAAGGCCGATTCCTTACGATTCGTCAGATGGATATGCTATTCAATCCAACGGCCAACAACTCACCAACAAGGATAAAATATCAAAACTTAGACAAAAAGCTTAACTGGACTATCCAGTTTCCACTTATAACTCAACCAAAGTATCATCTCACTCTACACTCATAAGCCTCAACTCTCAACTCTCCCTCTACAATCTACACACAGGGTGCATTAGCCACAAGCCATGGCCTCCACAACAGCAGCAGCTGCTACATCTTCTTTTATGGGAACCCGCCTCCCCGACGTGTCCTCTAACTCGGGTCGGGTCCTTGCTCGGTTTGGTTTCGGTCCCAAGAAGTCCCGTCCCAAGAAGATCTCGAAACCTACCATTGACCGTCCACTGTGGTACCCTGGAGCCAAGGCTCCGGAATGGCTAGACGGGAGTTTGGTGGGTGACTATGGATTTGACCCCTTCGGGCTTGGGAAGCCCGCGGAGTACTTACAGTTTGAATTGGATTCATTGGACCAGAACTTGGCGAAAAACCAGGCTGGTGACATTATTGGGACCCGTTTCGAGAGCGCTGAAGTGAAGTCGACGCCGTTCCAGCCGTACACTGAAGTGTTTGGGCTGCAGAGGTTCCGTGAGTGCGAGCTCATTCATGGACGATGGGCCATGTTGGCCACTCTTGGTGCCCTTACCGTCGAGTGGCTCACAGGTGTCACTTGGCAAGATGCCGGCAAGGTACGTAACTGGTGTTTATTAGATTTTCTATGGTGTAATTAATAGAGAGTAATTGAATTTCAAATTGGTGATATTTCAGGTAGAACTAGTTGAAGGTTCGTCGTACCTTGGTCAACCACTGCCCTTCTCCATAACAACATTGATATGGATTGAGGTTTTGGTGATTGGCTACATTGAGTTTCAGAGGAACGCGGAGCTTGATCCCGAGAAGAGGCTTTACCCAGGAGGGAAGTTTTTTGATCCCCTGGGTTTGGCCGCAGATCCTGAAAAGAAAGCCACACTTCAATTGGCAGAGATCAAGCACGCCCGTCTTGCCATGGTTGCATTCCTTGGCTTTGCAGTTCAAGCTGCTGTTACTGGAAAAGGCCCTCTCAACAACTGGGCTACTCACTTGAGTGACCCTCTCCACACAACCATTATTGACGCCTTTACTTCTTAAAAATTCCATGTAGTATTTGCCTGAGCAGTACATGTTACTCGGATGCGAGCAGTACATGTTACTCGGATGCGATACCATATGTGCCTTCTGTCGTGTAAAAATTACAACATTTGACAGTTTGAGGGGAATGTTATTGCTGAATATTGTGAAATTGTCTTTACTATTTCAGAATCTTAGCCATTTGGTACGCCATATATACAAATATTTATGATATGCCTTTGAGATTGTCACCATGTTTATGATAAAGCTGAAACAGGGTCACGACTTTGTTTTATAGGAAATTGACCTAATTAAATAGGAATCAGAGATTTAAGCCCAAAAGAAAAACACCCATAAAAATATAAAAGAAAAACTCGAAAATAAGTTTGAGATCAAACATATAATATATTCTCATTGAGATCATTTGCACCATTCTTTTTGTACACAACTTCGAAAACAATCAGCAAATTTATTGGTTTCTTTGGCCAAACTGAACTACCAAGTATCAATGTGAATCTCAACCAAACAAATCACAGAGATGAGCCCTAATTTGTACATTACTGTAAAGAAAGAAAGATCATGAAAGAATAATTCCCAACTAACCAGTAGACCCTTTTGGTTTAGGAGAAGATGGGTTAATTGCTTCAGTACTGAACGGCTTCCTCAGCTCCAAGATTAATTCACTTAGCTTCAAAGAAAGCTGCATCTGTTCCTCCCACAAGTTGATCCATTTGTCCTCCAACTCCTTCAACCTTGAGCTTTCAATCACATTAGGAATGGATTCGTTGACAAACCCTATAAGCTTCAATGCCTCCCCCAAGAATGGATACACCGATAAATCAAGAAATGGCTGTTCATCTTCTGCTCCAGGGACAGTCACTTCTATCATTTTATTTTTTCCTTGGGCACCATCATCATCTTCAAAGAACTTCAAGCGCCTTTTTCTAGGATGAGAAGGACTGGACATTGAACCAGAGCTCATTTCGGGTGTCAGTTGAAGGTTTCTTGGAGATGGCTTGTCTGCTTCATGATTCGGAGGAATATTAGTCTGATCTTCTTCTTGTTCTTGTGAGGAAGTGACAAGACCAAACGCCTTGTAGATTTCATTCTTTGCTTTTTCCAGAATCTCAGCTTCTTCTTGTTCTTGTGCATTTTCTTTCTTTTTCTCAGAGGAAATGCCAAGATCAAACGCCTTGAAGATTTCATTCTTTGCTTGTTCCAAAATCTCAGCTATTAGGGCATGGGTCTCTTCTCTTAGTTGCACAGAGAGGCAATAAGGGCTGGAACGTGGTGGGTTGTTGTTAATGGAGGAGTTTCTTGCAGGGGAGGAAGCAACCGCGTCTGTCTGTGGAGTTGACGGTGGTTCTTGTTCTGTTGAATCTTGTTCTTGCATTGTTGGAGTTGTCACACCACTGTTTCCAGACATTTTCTTTAAAGAGAAAAACTCAGAAAATGAAAATGGTTTAACAAAAAAACGTGGTGGGTTGTAAATGGAGGAGATTCTTGCAGGGCAGGAAGCTAAGGCCTTTTAAAAGCTGTGGGAAATTGTACCTACAGTAGGTGATGAATAATATGTTATCAGAACCGTCCATTTTATGTGGGACCAACAACTCGTGGTCCGCTGGATTAGATGGTCATAAGCATACCAGTCGTAAACTTCTACGGCTAAGGGAAAATCAGAGAGAAAGTGTTTTTGATAAGGATTTCGTCCCTGAGGTTTAGTTCAAGTAATTTAGTTCTGTATAATGCTAAAAGGTGGTCCCTAAGGTTTGGTCTAAGTGACAATTTCGTCCCTGAGGTAGTGAGGTTTGCTATTTACATGGACCAAAAGGTGACTGAGTCTGACAACTGGCAAGGACCAAAATGTTACTAAAAAATTATAGGTCAAAATTTACTTAAGCCAAACATTAGAGACGAGATTTTATTTTCCCCTTTTTTTTTTTTTTTTTTCTTTTGAATAGATTGAAGTAGGTCATTGAGTAGTTTTGGTTTATTAATAGCACAAGGGGTTAAAGACATACACTTGATAAATGATCAAATAACAAAAATCCTTTTAAAAACATCTTCAAAGGACTCTTTATCAATGTTTTAAAACCCAATCCGGGGTGAAACCAAGCAAAGTTTTCGGGTCTCGGGTTGACCGGTTGACAAAAAATTTTAAAACTCAACAAATACACCCCTAAAAATTACCTTTAAGTCCCTACGTGTTTGAACTTTCTCAAACACCCCAACTGAAAATCGACTAGCGACTGATCGGCAGCGGCGACACCCCAGATGCAACTCAAATCTTCCCCTGAGCCCATTTCCATTAAAATCTACCCAAGATCTGGTCGAAATAAGTTCGATTTAGGTCAGATTTCACCGACGTCGGCGTGGGTATTCCAAGCCAGATCTGATCCATGCCAGCGCCCACAAACCTCCCCATCACCCAGGAATTACTCCCCTGTTCCTCCCGACCAAAACCCACCTCACCCCACCCCCGTTAGCCTAGCCAATCGTCAAAAAAATCCCATTGTTGCCGCTGCCAAGTTTCTTCGATTTCCGGTCGATTTACTCACCGGAAATCAACGACGCCACCACCATTGTATTCACCGGACCTTAGTCTTCAAAAGCCCTAACTTCCGACCGTCGATTGTTCGCCGATCATCCTCTCAAATCTTAGGGTTTGGAGGTAAATCGGAAAAATTAAACCCGGCCCAATGAAGCTGCCGGGTCCCGGTTAAACCGTCCGGGCCAGGGCCGGGTTTTAAAAAAATGCTCTTTATTATAAAAACTCTATCCATAAAAACAAGAGTCTAACATACTTTTTATCTTTAAAATATAAATTAGAGAGTGGGTTTGACTCTTCACATTTAGAGAGTCAAATTTCACTCAATATCTTAATTTTAATTAATAAACTACAAGTTCCTATGTATTTTATTTATTAATTTTCTCTCTCATTAAGTCTCTTTTTTTTTTTAAAATAAAGAACATCTTCATTAAATTTAAAGAGTCTATTGGATTTAAATAAAAATTGTGTTCATTATATTTAAAAATTAATGAAGATGTTCTTTATTTATATGAAAGATATTCTTTAAAATAAAGAGCACCATTAGAGATACTATAAGATCGTTAAAATAAGTGAGCCATTAAAATTTAGATTGTTCATAAAATTACCGAATTACCCTCTTTTAACACCAAAATTTAACGATAGAAAGATTTTTGTTACTTTTAAAATCTCAAGAGTGTATTTGTGTTTTTATCATAATTTAAGGGGATTAATGTTATTAACTCTAACTCAAGAGTGAGTTGGTGTTTCCTACTCAAGTTTGACCACAATTTTCAGGAATGATGATCTCTCTCTTAATTTTCTTCCAATTTTATATTTATCTTTAACACGTAAGATAACAAATTTTCATTGATTTCTCCATTCCATTTTCATTGAAACTAATTCTTACAAAAAAAAAAAAAAATCAATTTTTTTTTCAAACAGCTTTTTATTTTTGAAAAGAATATGTTATTTAAAACAATTATTCTGTGTGAATTATTTTACAAACAATTTTGTTTTAACCATTTGTACAATTATTAACGTTTTATATTTTTATTTCATTATATTTTTCATTTATTATAGAGTGGAGGCCGATAGATCGCATGGTGGTGACCGATTAAATATTTACTTTTGGAATCAGTCGAAAATCAGTCAAGAACAAAAAACCCTAGATTTACGATGTTCAGCGATCACGGAGAAATCAAGTGCCGAAGTGAGAAAGTTTTTGTAGAGAGGAGACCAGAGGTTCAAAGGGTGGTGATTGAAGAATTTTCGCCACTGGATTCATCTTTGAGTAATAACGGAATATTAATTTTGAGTAAAAAATAGTATTTTAAAACTTTTTGGATGGAAAAGTGTGATTAAGGCAAACCTTGTGTGGGAAAAAGTCCTTTACTGATTAAACAATTGTTTACATAGACAACACATACTTTAGCTCAGCATTCTGAATATTGGATATCTAATTATTGGTAAGTTTTTATGCATATTATTATTCTCAATGTAATTAACACGTTTCATTGATATAGGACGATAATTATTAGATTTCTTGATTTAAACTTTGACAATTTTGCAGGTGAATGTAACAAAGATGTTTGTGTTTTCATTGATATAGTAAGAATTAATAACCAAACAAATCATAAAGGGAAGGCGAAATTTGCATATTAATGTAAAGAAAGATAATGAAAAAGAATCAGCGAACACCATTAAAAAATTCCAAAGTAGCTAACCAGTAAACCCTTTTGGTTTTGGAGAAGATGAGTTAATTGTTTCAGTACTGAAAACTTTCCTCAGCTTGAGATCAAACATATTGATATTATCATTGAGATCATTTGCACCATTCTTTTTGTACACAGCTTCGAAAACAATCAGCAAATTTATTGGTTTCTTTGGCCAAACTGAACTACCAAGTATCAAGGTGAATCTCAACCAAACAAATCACAGAGATGAGCCCTAATTTGTACCTTACTGTAAAGAAAGAAAGATCATGAAAGAATAATTCCCAACTAACCAGTAGACCCTTTTGGTTTAGGAGAAGATGGGTTAATTGCTTCAGTACTGAACGGCTTCCTCAGCTCCAAGATTAATTCACTTAGCTTCAAAGAAAGCTGCATCTGTTCCTCCCACAAGTCGATCCATTTGTCCTCCAACTCCTTCAACTTTGAGCTTTCAATCACATTAGGAATGGATTCGTTGACAAACTCTATAAGCTTCAATGCCTCCCTCAAGAATGGATACGCCGATAAATCAAGAAATCGCTGTTCATCTTCTGCTCCAGGGACAGTCTCTTCCATCTTTTTCTTTTTTCGTTGGCCACCATCATCATCTTCAAAGAACTTCAAGCGCCTTTTTGTGGGATGAGAAGGACAAGACATTGAACCAGAGCTCATTTCGGGTGTCAGTTGAAGTGTTGATAGTGGTTTTATTGAGTCGAGATTTCTTGGAGATGGCTTGTCTGCTTCATGATCCGGAGGAGTATTAATCTGATCTTCTTCTTGTTCTTGTGAGGAGGTGACAAGACCAAACGCCTTGTAGATTTCAGAACACAGTATTTGCTTTTTCCAGAATCTCAGCTTCTTCTTTTTCTTGTGCATTTTCTTCTTTTTCTCAGAGGAAATGCCAAGATCAAACGCCTTGAAGATTTTATTCTTCGCTTGTTCCATAATCTCAGCTATTAGGGCACCAGTCTCTTCTCTTAGTTGCACGAGAGAGAAAGAGGGCTGGAACGTGGCGGGTTGTTGTTAATGGAGGAGTTTCTTCACGGGGGAAGCAACCGCGTCTGTCTGTGAGTTGACGGTGGTTCTTGTTCTGATAATCTTGTTTCTGCATTGTTGGAGTTGTTACACCACTTTTACAGACATTTTCTCTCTAGAGAAAAACTCAGAAATGAAAATGGTTTAAACGAAAGGATACCGGAATGTTATTTCTTTATCTGAGGAACAAGGTAGTCTGGTAGAGGCTTTTAATCTGGGGAATTGTACCTACAGTAGGTGATGAATATATGTTATCAGAACCGTCCATTTTATTGGGACCAACAACCGTGTCCGCTGGATCAGATGGTCATAAGCATGCCAGTTGTACGATTCTACGGTTAAGGGAAAATCAGAGATAAAGTCTGTTTTTGATTAGATAATTTGGTCCCTGAGTTTAGTCAAGTACATTTTAGTCCTGTATAATTTAAATGGTGGACGCTAAGGTTTGGTCTAAGTAACAATTTCGTCCCTGAGGTAGTGAGGTTTTGCTATTTATATGGACCAAAACGTGACTGACACTGACAAGGACCAAAAGTTGCTAAAAATTATAAACCATTTATTAACCCAAACATTAGGGATGTGATTGTTATTTTCCCCTTTTTTTTTCTTTCGGATAGATTGAACTAGTTCATCAGCCATGGAAGTTTTGATTAATAACTTGAGATGTAAAAGAATAAATCTGTGAGGTATGATCAAAATCGATAACAAAAATTTATCCGACTTAGGGAACTATTAGTGAATCATAAAATTTAGACGGTTATGAGTTCGAAAATATACCAAGTAACATCCTTTAACACCAAAACTCGATGAGATAAGGATTTTTATTATTTTTGAAATCTCAGGGTATATCTATGTTTATCATACCCGGGGATAACTTTGTTATTATCTATACCCTAAGTCAGACTGAGTTGGTGTTTCTAGCTCAGTTTGACCACAATTTTCAAGAATGATGAACTCTCTCTTAATTCTAGGCCGTGGCATAACTTTTCTCGCCGCGACGGCCATTCCTTCTTTCACGTTCTGCTTCGCGTCTTTAGCGCACGCCGAGGCAGCCAGCTTCTGGAATTTTTTCAGAGCTTAATTTTCTCCCGTAGCCGCGGTCAGCTTTCCTTCTACCGCGGCTACCCTTTGCTGCCACAATTTCGACACCTCATCCATTCCAACACTACAATTCTTTATTTCTTCTACCATATCCATGGTTTTGATTCATCAAAATAGGTTCTAACTCTTAACACTTTCTTTCAAGCGAAAAACTCAGATAAACGAAAATGGTTTAATTAAGGATCCTGGAAAGTTACTGCTTTTGATATAAGGAAACAAGCAGTCAAAGTAAGGCCTTTTGTAGGTGATGATTAGTGTCTTATCAGAACCGTCAATTTTGTTTGGGACCAAAATCTGGTGGCCCTGGATATAATAGTTAAGAGAAAATGGCAGAAAATTTTTATTTTTATGGATTAATTGAACACATGTTCTTTCTCTCTCTTTTTTTTTTTTTTTTATTTTAATATGATGGGATGTTTTTGTTAATTTACGCTCATTTTAATTAAATTAATCTCTTGTAACCCATTTTAATTAATCTTTTTATATCTTAGATTTATTAATTAAAAAAAAGTTTCAATAATCATCTCTATTAGTAATCGATGAAAAACTCGAATCTAAAATTTTAAATAATATATTTAAACTACTCAGTTATTCAAAGGTAATTAAACGAAACATGTTAACTAGAGTGATGGGCTTTAAGAAGCTTTGTAAAAGAAAGGATGATTATTATCGTGTCTTCATGAAATTTTTTTAACATTCTAGAAATATCGAATTTAAAATAATTTAATAATTCTAGAAAAATAAGGTGCCCAGTGTTGTTACTGGTGAGGCCTAGAAAAAAGAGTCATAGTTCAGAATCTCAGAAGCAACTTTTCAATGCAGAGATGTAAAAAAAGAGCCAAACTATTGGCTCAACATGTCACAATCCTGTTACTTTTTTTTTTTTTGTTTTTTTTGGTAATTTCTCTGTAATCTCTGTAACTTCTGGTAAGATCAGTCGAATCGAATCAAATGCCATGTTCTATCTAATCTTTTTTCACTTTCACTTCACAATAAACAATCGTTACACATATCCACACTGTACCAACATTATACTCGATCTGTTTTTGATCCATTTTTTCAATATAATTTCTGGGTTTCGTTAGTTACGGGTGCCTGATTGATTTGTAAACATGGGGAGGCTGTTTTTTATTACTCTTGAAGGAAGAATTTATAGCTGTAAGCACTGCCATGTCCATCTCGGTGTCGCTGAGGACATCATTTCTAAGGTTTTTGATAACACCATGTTATTATAATCTTTTTGCTTCTTACAATGTTGAGTTCTGTAATTATTTCAGTTTCTTATCATTAACTATATTATACATATGTTGCTTTTGGGTTGTGTTTGATTGGAATTACTGTATTGGCTTTTATATGGACATTGCTTTTATCCTTATTTTCAAATCTTGATAGATAACTCCATTCTGATCATACTTAAGTTTCGTTGCAAATATTTTGTTTTTGTTTTGTATTGTGGTCAATTTAAATTCAGATTGTTTGGTTTGAGTGTGTTCTAACCCTGTGTTTTTGTGTGTTCCAGTCTTTCCACTGCAGGCATGGAAAGGCTTATCTCTTTGATCAGGTGTAAGTGGTCCTTGATTGCCGTATTCATTACATTTTAAGCTGCTTGATTTCAGGAAATTTTTTCTTGTATGATATTAACAGTTATTGCTTATGCATTTTTGTTCTTTAGGCATCAACTGTTTCAAGTCTAGTGTGTATTATAATAGTGCTGGTGTTTCATGAGTTTGAACTATTTGGAAGCTCTATGCTTCTGTGAAAGCACAGGGTTATTTGTTTGAGATGCTACTTTAATAAGCATTTTGTGGTTCTTATTAGAGCACTGCTGCAGATTAAGCCAAACTGTTCTAAGTTCATTAATGATTTCCCGGATATTGTTTCTTTTCTTCAGAAAAAAAATAAGCCAACAACATTATTCTGATTATGCAGCCACATTAAAATGCTCCAAGTAACATTGCGCTTTCCCTCTGTATAACAGTGTGAACATCACAGTTGGTGAGAAGGAAGACCGAATGATGATGACTGGACTGCACACTGTTGTTGACATATTCTGTGTTGGCTGTGGCTCAATTGTAGGGTGGAAATATGTAAGATCTTGATCGATTCATGAGCTGAAGATTTCGGTTTTTTACTGAAACATTGTAGCATGACATAGATAGTTTTTCATTCTGAAGTTTTGTTTACCAATTTCAGGAAACTGCACAAGAGAAAATCCAGAAATACAAGGAAGGAAAATTTATTCTTGAAAGGTACTTAGTCACTGTCTCCTTTGGTTGAAATTAAGCTTTTCCATGTTTTTGAAGCTGAATTATTTGGAGCAGGTTTAAGGTGTTGGGTCCTGATGGAAGCAATTACTCGGGGAGTCCAGAAGCCCAAGTTGGTGGAAGTGATGCAGATGATGTTTAATTAGCCGCTGTTTGTTTAAGTGTATATTCTCTATATTCTATAATATTTTCCAAGCTTGCATCTTGCATCTGGGATTTTTAATTGGTAGCTTCGCCATTTTACAAGTTGTGCAAATGGCTTTAGAACAGATGGTAGGTTTCCAATTTCAGTTGATTTGGTAATGAAATCCTTGTAGAAGTTAGTTGCTAATCCGAAATTTTGTTCGTATACATCATTACTCATTCTAAGAAAATAGTCCATTCATCCTGCTGAAAGGGCTAACTTACATGCTTCATATTGATTATTTGTTTTTCCTTTATCGTTTCTTCTTCCTGAGAATTACTTCTCTTAGTGTGACCGTATATGCAACTTCATTGTTCTTCTGGGCGGCCCCTGGAGAAAATTTTTGGCTGCGTTTGTTCCCCTGTTTTCAAAATATTTTATTCCTATTCTGAAAAAAATGCACGTTTGTTTCAATATTCTTAAAATCATATCCTATAATATTCAACTATTTAAACCCCCATAGGTTTGTTAATTTAACTAAACACTCTGAACAAATTTTTTTTATAAATTGACAAAAACACCTTCATTCACCCACATTTGTCAGATGTCGACAACCACCGTCGGAAGATGGCTGGAATCTGGCGTAATGGCTCACTACTGACTGGATCTAACCAGTCGTACTCTGATCTGGCGTCGATCTAGCCTTTTCTGGTCATATCCATCCCCTAACAAAAAAAGTTTTATAAATTGACAAAAACACTTTCACCCACCCACATTTGTCATATTGCGACAACCACTGTTGGAAGGTGGTCAGAATCTGGCGTAATGGTATACTATCGGCTGGATCTGACTGGCAGTGCGACGATTTGGCCTTTTCCAGCCAAACCTTTGGCCACATTTGGTCGACAATGATGGCTAATATATGACCGTTTTATTTTTCATAATCACTTAACGTCAATGTACATGATAACTTTTATTTTATTGATGTGGTACAACATATGTTTTGAAACGAAAATGGTTAAGTAAGGATCCTGGAAGTTACTTCTTTTGATATAAGGAAAAAAGCAGTCAAAGTAAGGCCTTTTGTAGGTGATTATTATGTCTTATCAGAACCGTCAATTTTGTTTGGGACAAAATCTGGTGGCCCTGGATATAATAGTTAAGAGCAAATGGCAGAAAATTTTGTTTTTATGGATTAATTGAATTTTTTTTTTTTTTTTTTTTTTAATATGATGGGGTGTTTTTGTTGTTTACGCCACTTCATTAATTAATCTCTTCATAATCTTGGAAATATCAATTATGAAAAGGGTTTAAACGACCTTTTTTATAGTAATGGATAAAGAACCCGAATAAACTTTATTCAAAACTTTAAATAAAACATCAAATGTTTCTGTAAACTACCAGTTATTCACAGATAATTAATCGAACATGTTAACTAGAGTGATGGGCTTTAAGGAGCTCGTAAAAGAAAGGATGATTATTATCGTGTGTCTTCAAGAAATTTTTTTTAACATCTAGAAATCCGAATTAAAATAATTAATAATTCTAGAAAATAAGGTGCCCACTGCCCAGTGTCGTTACTGATGAGGCCTAGAAAAAAGAGTCATCTCGAGTTCAGAATCTCAGAAGCAACTTTTCAATGCAGAGATGTAAAAAAGAGCCAAACTATTGGCTCAACATGTCACAATCTGTACTTTTTTTTTTTTTGTTTTTTTGGTAAGTCTTTGGCCAAACTGAACTACCAAGTATCAAGGTGAATCTCAACCAAACAAATCACAGAGATGAGCCCTAATTTGTACCTTACTGTAAAGAAAGAAAGATCATGAAAGAATAATTCCCAACTAACCAGTAGACCCTTTTGGTTTAGGAGAAGATGGGTTAATTGCTTCAGTACTGAACGGCTTCCTCAGCTCCAAGATTAATTCACTTAGCTTCAAAGAAAGCTGCATCTGTTCCTCCCACAAGTAGATCCATTTGTCCTCCAACTCCTTCAACTTTGAGCTTTCAATCACATTAGGAATGGATTCTTTGACAAACTCTATAAGCTTCAATGCCTCCCTCAAGAATGGATACGCCGATAAATCAAGAAATGGCTGTTCATCTTCTGCTCCAGGGACAGTCTCTTCTATCTTTTTCTTTTTTCGTTGGGCACCATCATCATCTTCAAAGAACTTCAAGCGCCTTTTTGTAGGATGAGAAGGACAAGACATTGAACCAGAGCTCATTTCGGGTGTCAGTTGAAGTGTTGCTAATGGTTTTATTGAGTCGAGATTTCTTGGAGATGGCTTGTCTGCTTCATGATCCGGAGGAGTATTAATCTGATCTTCTTCTTGTTCTTGTGAGGAGGTGACAAGACCAAACGCCTTGTAGATTTCAGTATTTGCTTTTTCCAGAATCTCAGCTTCTTCTTTTTCTTGTGCATTTTCTTTCTTTTTCTCAGAGGAAATGCCAAGATCAAACGCCTTGAAGATTTTATTCTTCGCTTGTTCCATAATCTCAGCTATTAGGGCACCAGTCTCTTCTCTTAGTTGCACAGAGAGGAAAGAAGGGCTGGAACGTGGCGGGTTGTTGTTAATGGAGGAGTTTCTTTCACGGGAGGAAGCAACCGCGTCTGTCTGTGGAGTTGACGGTGGTTCTTGTTCTGTTGAATCTTGTTCTTGCATTGTTGGAGTTGTTACACCACTGTTTACAGACATTTTCTCTCTAGAGAAAAACTCAGAAATGAAAATGGTTTAACGAAAGGATACCGGAATGTTATTTCTTTATCTGAGGAACAAGGTAGTCTGGTAAGGCCTTTTAACATCTGTGGGAAATTGTACCTACAGTAGGTGATGAATAATATGTTATCAGAACCGTCCATTTTATGTGGGACCAACAACTCGTGGTCCGCTGGATCAGATGGTCATAAGCATGCCAGTTGTAAGATTCTACGGTTAAGGGAAAATCAGAGATAAAGTCTGTTTTTGATATAGATAAAATTTCGTCCCTGAGGTTTAGTCTAAGTAACATTTTAGTCCTGTGTAATTTTAAATGGTGGACGCTAAGGTTTGGTCTAAGTAACAATTTCGTCCCTGAGGTAGTGAGGTTTTGCTATTTATATGGACCAAAACGTGACTGACACTGACAAGGACCAAAATGTTGCTAAAAACTTATAAACCTAAATTTATTAACCCAAACATTAGGGATGTGATTGTTATTTTCCCCTTCTTTTTTATTTCTTTTGGATAAATCGAACTAGTTCATCAGCCATGGAAGTTTTGATTTAATAACTTGAGATGTTAAAAAGATATAAATCCTGTGAGGTATGATCAAAATCGAATAACAAAAATTTATCCGACTTAGGGAACTATTAGTGAATCATTAAAATTTAGACGGTTATGAGTTCGAAAATATACCAAGTAACATTCCTTTAACACCAAAACTCGATGAGATAAGGATTTTTATTATTTTTGAAATCTCAAGGGTATATCTGTGAATTTATCATACCTGGGGATTACATTGTTCTTACTTATTAACCCTAACTCAGAGTGAGTTGGTGTTTCCTAGCTCAGGTTTGGCCACAATTTTCAAGAATGATGAACTCTCTCTTAATTCCTAGGCCGTGGCATAACTTTTCTTCGCCGCGACGGCCATTCCTTCTTTCACGTTCTGCGCTTCTCTTTAGCGCACGCCGAGGCAGCCAGCTTCTGGAATTTTTTCAGAGCTTAATTTTCTCCCGTAGCCGCGGTCAGCTTTTCCTTCTACCGCGGCTAGCCCTTTGCTGCCACAATTTCGACCTCATCCATTCCAACACTACAATTCTTTATTTCTTCTACCATATCCATGTTTAGATTCATCAAAATAGGTTCTAACTCTTAACACTTTCTTTCAATTTTGACGAACAAACCTCAGAATATACACGAAGAATTGGTTGATGATTGAAGGATCCGAAGTTCACTTCTTTGGATAGATGGACTAATCAAAAGCAGTGTCCAGTTACCCTGGCCTTTGTACTCCTGACGAGGATAATTAATGGTATTATCGAACCGTCATAAACTTTTGGACAGTGGTTGACACAATCTCCTGGCTGGACCACAAACCCATCCCGCGATTATATAATAGTTAAGAGCAAATGTGCAGAAAAGTTTTGTTTTTATGATTAATTGAATTTTTTTTTTTTTTTTTTTTTTTAATTGATGGGGTGTTTTTGTTGGTTTACGCCCACTTCAATATATTAATCTCTTCATATATCTTGGAATATCAATAGAAAAGGGTTTAAAACGACCTTTTTTATAGTAATGGATATAAGACACCCGAATTCAAAATTAATTCAAAACTTTAAATAATACATCTAAATGTTTCTTTAAACTACACAGTTATTCACAGATAATTAATCGAACATGTTACCTAGAGTGATGGGCTTTAAGGAAGCTTCGTAAAGAAAGGATGATTATTGATCGTGTCTTCAGAATTTTTTTTAACATTCTAGAAATACCGAATTTAAAATAATTAAGAATTCTAGAAAAATAAGGTGCCCACTGCCCAGTGTCGTTACTGATGAGGCCTAGAAAAAAGAGTCATCTCGAGTCAGAATCTCAGAAGCAACTTTTCAATGCAGAGATGTAAAAAAGAGCCAAACTATTGGCTCAACATGTCCAATCTGTTACTTTTTTTTTTTTTGTTTTTTTTTTGGTAATTTCTCTGTAATCTCTGTAACTTTTGGTAAATCAGTCGAATCGAATCAATGCCATGTTCTATCTATTCATTTTTTTCACTTTCACTTACAAAAACAATCGTTACACATATCCACACTGTACCAACATTATACTCGATCTGTTTTGATCCTTTTTTCAATATAATTTCTGGGTTCGTTAGTACGGGTGCCTGATTGATTGTAAACATGGGAGGGCTGTTTTTTATTACTCTTGAAGGAAGAATTTAGTGTAAGCACTGCCATGTCCATCTCGGTGTCGCTGAGGACATAATTTCTAAGGTTTTTGATAACACCATATTATTATTGATCTTTTTGCTTCTTACAATGTTATTTCTGTAATTGTTTCAGTTTCTTATTATAACTATATTATACATATGTTGCTTTTGGTTGAGTTTGATGGATTACTGTATTGGCTTTTATATGGACAGTGCTTTTATCCTTATTTTCAATCTGATAGATAACTCACATTCTGATCATACTTAAGTTTCGTTGCAAATATTTTGTTTTTGTTTTGTATTGTGGTCAAT